CTCAATCTCTTTTTCTATTTTAAAAAGGAACTATCAGGGGTCTGTTTAGACTCCTGATATTTCCCCTACAAAATAAAAAAAAATCAATTAATTAAAAAATAAAAGAAATGTAAAAAGGTTAGAAAAAAAATTGTTTTCGGTTTCAGCTTGACAATTTTTTTTATTTCGGTCTAAAAAATGTAATTTCGGTGCATCCCTAATATATACAGTATATATATCTTCTCACGGGAAAAATTAAGTGCACCTGTTTGCATACAGTTAAAGTGATATAGATTCGTGTATGTCTATCTATCTATCTATCTATCTATCTATCTATCTATCTATCTATCTATCTATCTATCTATTTTTGTCTTTCACAGGCAAACTCAACTTTTGAGCAGTTAGAGCGGCTCAGACAAATGGGAAAGGTCTGGGAAGAATTAGGACCCCAATTGTGGAACTTATTCCAAAACAGTGTTCAGATGAATGTCCTTCGGGTATGTGTTTCTGCAAACTCAAACATCAGTCACACTGACTTTTTTACTTTGGCCTCGCTACAGGAAATAGTCATTTATGTTCACACTGTTGTTTGTAGGTGGCCATAGATATTACATTAATATTTACATATTTACTTTCTTCCCTGCGTGGTCCTTCCAGAACATTATTGAAATTCGATGGACTTAAATTATATAAATAAATAAGCCCTGCAGGCGGTCACATTGCAGGTAATTGTAGTTCACTTTGTTAAATAGAAAGTCAATCATCCAGTCACATCTGGTTCAAGGTTCATTGACCTGGACGTAAAAGCTGGTCATCTGATGACTTCAAGTTCCGTGCTCAGTGAGCCTGGATGCATTGCTGAAGATCACAGATTATCTAAAAAGACACCTGTTCCACTGCAGACTTGGAATGATGCCACGGTTTTATGTTTATTCACCGTAATATGTGTTGTGGTGTTTAAAGATAAAGTACTACATTTTTTCAGCAAGCACATGAGTTATTGCTGTATTTACTTTAAAGTAAATTTTTATGTGACATATACAGTAAAAGGTTAATACTAACTATGTATTGATTTAATTGGAGATTTAATTGGAGAAAACTAAGTTTGAAAATTCATATTTACCTATTTTTGTTTTAGGATACCATTAATAACCCAACAGTGAGAGATTTCCTCAACAGACAGCTTGGAGATGATGGAATACGTGCTGATGATGTCATCAATTTTCTGTACAATGGGCATCCTGACTCAAGACCAGAAGGGCAATCAAACTTTGACTGGAGAAATGTTTTTAATTTTACTGATCAGGTGTTGCGTCTTTTTAACAAGTATATGGAGGTAAGATGTTTTTTACAGTATACAATAATAGATATTTATTGTGATACACCCTTTGTTCTTGTATTGGGGCTCATTGTCTAAAGGTATAGTTTATGTCATTACATAAATCAATAAAATTGAGTGAATGTGTTCATGGCTATATATATTTTATTTATTACAGGTATTTATATAGCCATGACAATTTACACAGCGCTTTACATTGCTGCACACTCACATCAGACCCTGCCCTTAAGGAGCTTACAATACAAGGTCCCTATTTCACATGCATATATATACGAGGGCCAATTCAGACAGGAGCCAAATAATCTACCAGCATGTCTTTGGAGTGTGGGAGGAAACTGGAGTACCCAGAACATGCAAACTCTTTGCAGATAGTGACCTGTCTGGGATTCGAACCAGTGCTGCAAGGCAGAAGCGATAACCACTATGCCACTGTGTTGCCCAATAAATATATATATCTCGTAATGCGCATCAGTGACGTGCGGTACCTTGGGTTCCGGGTGAGGCATTCCCCAGCATGTCCCGCAGCCCAATGAAGCCCTGCCCCTAGCCCACTGAAGCCCCGCCCCGTCTGCCTAACCCCTATCCCTAAGCTAGTGTGAGGGAGACAGGGAGGAGCCTCCCTATCCCTCACTTGCTCGTCACTGCTGAGGCAGCGAGATCGATGGCCTCAGTGTTTGTTTTTTGTTTTTTGATTGGACAGCTTGGACCAATGGCGCTTTGCCATTGGTCCAAGACATCCACAGAGCTCACGCCTCTAACACAGATCAGAGGCTGTGACAGCTCTTGCCTCACTATTTAGGTTACACAAGCAGTGGGGAAGCCCACTGCTAACTACCTGTCAAAAGCCGGATGCAGCGCTGCCTGTAATTAACAGGCAGCGCTCCGTCCATGACAGGTTACACAGCGGGGAGGCTTTCCCTGCTGTGTCACCTGTAACAAGCTGATCTGAATGGAGAAAAAGCTGTCAGCTTGTGTTGCGAGTAAAAAAAGTGCATGCAAATGAATAGCAGGCAACCTCCTGCACGGTAATGCATGTTAAATCCGTATTCTTTGCCAGAGCTTTATTTATGAACCTGATTCTGGATCTGGGCTGGTGCCTTTCTGATCATGATAACATAATCCTTCAATGGATGAACAGCTTCTAAGTGTGTGGTTAGGAGCACCTAGTACAAACTTCCATCTCACTTGCAGTTCATTTAACAACATTATTTGTTAGGAACAAAAGATACAGCCAATGCATTTTGGGGGGAAAAAGACTCCCCCTTCCTTAGGGCTTGAACAATGACTTAAAATGCAATCAGGATAACATTACTGTTGCTGAATTGAACTGAGACTGGATTGCAACTAGTGTATTCTAACGGCATGTATGCATCCTGCTGAATCTAAATTACCTCTAGTCTGGTATCTTAGGTATCTATCTACAGTACCCTTTTGTTTTTAAAAAAACAAGTGATCTCATCTCGATATTTTCTAACCAGTCTGACCTGATCTTGGGTGACCTAATCTTCAACATACACTGCATGATCAGACATGAATGATCCAGTCTTTTCTGCACCATTGCCAAACATCTGGGTGATGTAGGGAACTAAAAAAAAAAAAATTGCAATGTTTATACATGCATGGGCTCTCTGAAATTGTGCAATTTTATACTCACCCTTTTGATATGAGAGCATATCATAAACAGAGGGTCTAAATATGTTCCCTATAAGTTACTCAGTTTGGACATCTATGGACTTTTTGTTTACTAGCCCCCTCTGGGCTAGTAAAAAATGTTGGGCTGGTGACCTTGACTGGAGATACTCCCCTTTTAGACCACAGTCAGTGACAGCTGCTGGGTGTTCACGCACTAAAATGGAAGTTTTACAGCAACAACTTTCTGTAGCAGCTCTGAGATGTCGACCAAAGAGTTGCAAAGGAAGCCAATGCTGGATGAATGCAAGGCTGTGAAATGTGTTGAGCTCATGTGTTACAGCAAGATAAATTATAAGGATTATTTGTGATGATGGCATGGTATTTCAATCTAGGCAAGTCTATTTAGTTTTTACAGAGCAGTACTCATAAAGCTCATAAATTACTTAATCAGTTACAATTCATCTCTTACCATCCCCCTTTTTAAAGGCGTGTTAATAAACGATATACTTTAAGACAATATCCACAACAATGCGGCAAGATGGCACACTTTGTGTGTTGTACTTTTTTTAAGCACACAGGAAAGGAAGGGGCCAGTGTATTATTTATTACAGGTATTTCTATAGCGCTGTCAATTTATGCAGTGCTTTACATGCTTTTCACTTACATCAGTCCCAGCCTTCAAGGAGCTTTCAGTCCAAGGTCCCTATCTCAAATGCACACTTACACACACATACTAGGGTCAGTTTTGACAGGAGCCAATCTACCTATACCAGCATGTCTTTGCAGTGTTAGTTGTATTTGTGTCCCAGGTCACAATTTCACGGTCCTTCCTTCTCTGTGTCGGACGTGTGCAGAATCAGTAGATCAGCCATGTCAAACTAAATTGAAACAGTTGGCCAAAGAGAGTGTGCATAAAAACATTAAACAATATGTGTACAACTGCGCAAAAAAGTCTCTAAATTGCCGGGCTATAGTTAGGCTTCGGTTTAAATGCAGCCTCAAGTAGTGAGCTGCAGAATTATGTGAGGAACCATATGCATTATAAAACAGCTGTTGCCATAGAAAGTTTTATTCTTATATTCACCTGGGGCCGCAAAGAAAGAATTAGGAGGATGTAGGAGGCCCCAAAACAATAGCTTGACATGCCCGTTCTGCCGTATTATATACATTTTTGGGGGATCTTCCTTGCTTTCATGGCATATCATATTATAGATCATATTTTCCCCTGTTGTTCCTGCAAGAAGCAATGGGGGGTCTTGTTTTGTTGATGAAACTTAGGTTATTTTGCTATCTCGCTTTCTCCTTTTACATACAAATAAACAACTAGTAATTACTGTTCATATAAGAGCAGGAAGTTAAGTTAAACTCAGTCAGGCGTGCTCTTGTCTAATCAGAGGGTAAACAATTAATTCCTTGGCTCGCATGTCCTCTCTTGTCATTCACAGCTAACTCTTTCTCTATCAGCAGGGGATCTTACATTGTTCCTACTTCTTAATGGCACCATGAAATAGCAGCAAAGGGAGGCATATAATTGAAAAATATGGGGAAATGAGTTTACTGCCAAGACAAAGAACAACGGTCGCCTGTAAACAACTGTATCATACCCTACAAACACAGCCAAGAAAATCCCTGCCAGCACTCCTGAGACTGTGCAGCATTCTCTAATCTTCAATGGGTACAGCCCATTATTATATTCATCTCAGTGTAGGAGGGTTTAGTGTGCCACTTAAGTTGTCTTTTGACTCTCTGCACATCTATACAAAATGTGACTGATTTAAATGACACTGGCAGCTGTAAAAAAAATGAAGTGACCCAGAACGCCTGCATTCATCTTGCTAAATTGCTGCTTTCATGTTGAGGTGGCTGCACAGATCTGTCTAAACGCAGTACCCAGCCTTAAGTAAAGAGAACTAATTTACCCAATAGCTCTCCATTATATTTATGGATCTATTAAAAATGATCATAACAGCTAACTAAGTTTATAATAAGGGTGAACAATCCATTTGGAATTATAATAAAGTTCTTTAAATTTTTGAGAAATTATTTGGATGACTGACTGAGTAAATGGGGGTACAGTTATGTTGGGTGAAAAGAATGTTACTATTTGTACCAGAGTGGAGAGGTGTGTGCATAGAAAAAAAAAAGCCTTTACATCAAAACACAGACCAGAATAAGTAACTGCATTGAGATTTATAGATATATATATAGATGTATATATATAGATATCTATATATATGGTTGTCACAGTATGAGTAAATAGTACATGTATCTTGCAAAGACTACTATTATTATTATTATTCAGGATTTATATAGTGCCAACAGTTTGCACAGCACTTTACAACATTGAGAGAGACAATACAATTTAAAATACAATTACAGTACAAGATGTAGGAAGGCCCTGTTCGTGAGAGCTTACAATCTAGTAGGGTACTTTCTAAATTTTATATGGCATGATTTTAAGTAGACCTTAACCTGCCTATAAACATTTCACAGTGACAGCTATAAATGCTTGATCTGGCTGCCAAAGGAATATTTTTAGGGATAAACATTATACAACCAAGTTTGTATTGTATGAACGTGCATGTTTGTGTTAGTGAAGGAGGGAGCACTGCAGGTGCTGCTTGAAATGGGAGAGATCATTAACAATTAGCTGAGAAAATCAATCCTGGCTGATCGATCCTATCTGTGATTAGAGTTGCCTAGGTTGGCATCTGTGAAGGACTTAAAACGTTAGGTTCCTCCTGAATCTGACTGTAAATGGTCAGATTGTGAAAACATTCTCTAAGGTAGGAAAGTAACTTTAGATATGGTGAAGTCTGTGATTATGGTATCTGGCCAACTAAAGAAGCCATAGACATCAGAATAGCATCAAATAGACATCATACCTGATCTAACTACTGAAAGATCTTTCCTGTAAAAGATGTTCCCATTAACATCCACACTCAGATCACCTAAACTTGTATATTGATGTCAATGAAGGAGGCAGAAGGAGAGTAAGCCAGTCCCAAAACCACTTTAGCTCACAGGGGAATACAACAGGTCAGGAAAATCATATGCGTGGCACATAACTAGAGAAGTCATGCAATACATGGCATACAATTGTTTCCTTATCAAACCACATTGAGCAATGATCTTGTTATGTAAGTACATTAAGAAACATTTGATTAGGACATTCTGTATCTGTATCTTTTCTGAACAGAAATAATAACACAGTAAATAAATCCACCTGAATATTTATCAGACTAATTTCTCATTATATACTTATTAGTTAACAGGATACACCATGCCCCAGAATAATCATAACAGAATTTAAAATATTCTGTTTCATCTATTTTGAAATATCATCTTTGAAATATTCCTAACATTATAAAGCTGGAAAAGCTGAATTCAGCAAACAACATGCTTTGACAAAGGAGCCTTCATATATTAAGCAATGTCTGCCAAAAGACTAACAACCTGTGCCCATATACTTTGATGTGAGGTAATTGCTCGAATTTTACCAGCAGTGGATATCAGCAGAGAGAGCATCAAACAATTTAACTTATTGAAATTACTGAATGAAGAGTGTGGTATTATTTCAAATTTCCTGCTGCTGAGTTTTATGTCAAAGAATCCCATTTATAAATAACATTACATTTTGTTTTATTATGAAATCAAATATCTAGCTCAAGTACTGAAAACTTTGTGTAAGTAAGGTTATATGTAAGGACTGTATTTCTACTAATGATGGGAAAAATGTATAACCAATAACTATATTGGGAAAAGCCACCTCTTTACTTCTCCTGCATAATGGTTAATATTGTCCTGCCTGAGTATATGCTTTAAAGTTAATGCCTAAGTCTCACATTATGATGAAATACATTACAAACCTAGCAAAAAAAAACTGCTTTATACGTCTTTAAGAAATACAAAAACATAGTGCTGGAACTGCCCTAAGTTTTTTCTTAGTTGGTGGACCAGATTGTGCTTCACTGCCTCCAAACCACTGCCACTAAACCTCCCCTTGTCTATAGTGTAAATCGAGTCAGCTTGGCCTTCTGTTCTATGGTACCGGTAGGTAGCAAGGACCGTGTGCTCTGAATTTCCCATCCAATAAAGACCTTGTTAATTAATTGGCACAAGGAGCCTGGACAGATAAATACAATATAAAAAGTATTTTTGTTTGTGGTTTTGACTCAATGGGTTGTTGGCTCAACATGCTCTGTACAGTATTCATTCAAAGGGAGAAAGAAATCAAGAGTATAATGTTACTTACAGAAAGGACAGGGAGCAGTTATGTATGGCTCCATGAAGACTAATAAGGCAGCCTAAAAAAGCCTGTAATTCAATGCAGAAAACAGATTCAAGGTATATGGAGATATATGCCTTTGCCACTTTTACATATCTACTCTCTCATTATAGATTTAAAGAAATGTAAAAGAGGAAATGTAATACAATAATACAATACAGGGCAAATCCACAAAACATTCAAATTTTATGTAGGCATGCACGGTGTACCCATAGCCATTGATCAAATAGAGCAAATGTTATGCTTGGCAGCGTAACAAATGCCAAAGATATGTGTAAGAGTATTGAAGTGTATCTAAAGCCAAAACCTTTTTATTTTTGTTTTGTATAGTGTAGGGAAAGGGTAGAACCCCTGTCAGGTTTTTCGTGTGTGCCCACTACTGGGGAGATTAACTCTCTCTGTTTGGACTGAAGACCAGTGCCACTGGGACTGAAAGCAAAGCAAAATCACAAATTTTTAGTTGTCATAAAAAAAGTGGAAATATTCCAATTGGGGGACACTTGTTCCAGTGACAGCAATCTAAGAGAAGAAAGATCTACTCTGGAGAGATTTCATCTCACATCCGGCTGTGTCTATAGGACAAGGGTTTTAATTATTCTCTAATCTGTCCAAAACTAAGAAAAAGTTTTGGCTGTAGATATGTTTTAAATAGGCTGATATTATGCAGACATATATGAAGATATAAACCATCATTAGGCCAGATCTCCTTCAAACTGGTTATGTTTGGACAAAACCAAGATCATTTAACTGCTGGTTACTGGTACTGATGTCTGAAACTTTGGGCCTGATATCTTAAAGTGGATAGTTGAGAGGTCTGCACAATGGGACATTGCTTGGGAAATATGGGTACATTCTATTCATGTATATAATAAGATGTTACTGTGTGTGCAGGCTTGGGCAGCCCCGCGCTAGATTTTACCAGCCTAAATGTAAACGATGCTTGAGGTTGCATCCAGCTGTATGAGGTTATCTACAAAAACTCCATGGTGCTTGGACTTGAGGACAGTTTTGAGGAAACACTGTGTTGAAGTATATTTACCTGTATTTTTTGCATAAATAAATGTTTGTGATATTTTTATAATCTGTCTGATCTGATAATGTATAATTTTTGTGTGTTTGTAGTGCCTAACCTTGGATAAATTCGAAGGTCATGATGATGAATCTCATTTGACACACCATGCACTTTACCTACTGGAGGAGAATAAATTCTGGGCCGGTCTTGTGTTCACGGACATGTACCCATGGACCAATCAAATTCCACCTCATGTGAAGTACAAAATCCGCATGGATATCGATGTTGTGGAGAAGACTAACAAAATTAAAGATAGGTAGATGTGTTTTCCTTATAAATGTGTTTTCCAGTTGAACAAAACTAAGGCTCCAAGTAAGCACATTTGTATCTATGTGCTTGCCTTGTGCATTCAGTTTTACATCTCAACTCCAGTTTGCTTGTTCCCCTCCCCCCATTTACCTCCCTTGGAGCACCCCCACCTTTTTTAAAAAAAATATGTAGTTTTTTACGTGGGTCTTGGGTCAAGTTCAGAAATGGCATCGGTCTTCCTCATCTGGTTTGTGGGTCCCTAATGCTATAAAGAAGGACACCATGTAACAACACCCTGGAGCATTCTTCTGGAATCCAGGGTAGTCTGATCACACACCACGAGGGAACAGGACCATGACAGCCTAGATTCACAGGATGTGGGTTGAATTGCTTTGGTTGTCATTTAACCCAGAAGACGGTTGCCATTTGGGGAGGAAAGGAATTTCTTGGGGCAGTACCAAAAATAGGGTGAGTATTGTAGCAAAAGCTGATTTTTTTTTTATTTTAGTGTTTGCCAACTAATATTTAAAATAATGACCTAGGTCTGAGTTGAAGTTATATAGAGTATACATTTTATTAAAACGCAGAATTACATTAATCGATAGGGCACATATCAACATAACCAAAATACAAGGTTATATTATAATAATTATATATTTATATTATAATAATTATATATTAATAAATGTATTCCTTTCATCATGAGATATCTAAAGTCAATACTCCAGAATTTGCATACTTGGTCTGCCTCAGTTATTTATCTAATACTGCAGCCAAAGCATAAGCATGACAGCTAGGGATCTAGCAGTTTCATAAGGAAGTCAGCATTAGAAGCCAACATATTTCTCTTACCGCAGGTATATTTTCAATAGGGCTGTGAACATGCAGTAACACCATGGGGTTGATTTACTAACCTTATAAACACACCACGAACATGTATACACCTCTGTAGTGTGTTCCCTCCCAGCATGATCTATGGGTGGAATCTAAACACCTTTGTAGTGTGTACACACCCAGCAGGTGTGTTGTGCAAAGCCTTGCATGAATTACAAGGTGATGTTGTGTAAATTAGCTCTATGTTGTGTTGCTTGCGTTGATGAATGCAGGAATGTAAATGCATGAGCTAACCATTTTTGTCTAAACTGTGAAGCAGCATTATATATGCATCATGTGCATGATTTTTCCATATATGGCATTAGTGGAAATATGCTTTTAGAGACTTTTTGGTTGATAAATACGTTTTGCTGCGTGAAAATCACATGCACCGCGTGTGTTTAGGTTAGTAAATCACCCCCCATGTCCGCTTGCCAAAAAAACTATTTTACTCAGTTATCCATTTTAGTGTGTCTTTTAACATATGATGCTCTGAATTTGTACCCTAACCAAGGCCATGGCAGCATTGTGAAGGTAAATAAAATCCTATTTAGTACGCATGGTTTCTAAGTAACAGGATTATGGCACATGAGCATTCAGCTGGGTGGTCTCAGGTTGAAGTATGCAGGTTAATGTGATCAAAGAAAATCAGGATTGAAATCCTCTTAGTAGCTCCTCTGACCATGAACAGTCTTGACCTCTATGGGTTTGACCAGCTTTAGACAATAATACTGCCCCTAGGGTAGCTTCTGTGGCTTTTCCCCATTGTCAGTGTTTTTTAAGTAGAGAAGAATGAACTAGGTAAACAAATGTATACTATTGTGGTTGGTGTCCTCAGTTAAGGACAAGTTACATTAGCCATTTCAAAATGGCATATGGTTTATGAAGCAAAACAGAAGGACTCAAAATATTTGTAAAACAGACAAATATTGAACCTTGGGGGTACAAACGGAAGGCGAGGAAATAAAAGGGTACTGTCTCTCCTTTGTTCATACAAGATGTGTGTTGCTGATGCTAAACAATTTTGTTTTGCTCTTAATTTGTTTGATTTTCCTTTGTACATGATCACAAAATGCACTTCTCTTTCTTGTAGATATTGGGATCCAGGTCCAAGAGCTGACCCAGTGGAAGACTTTCGTTATATCTGGGGAGGTTTTGCTTATCTCCAAGACATGATTGATCATGGAATTATTAAGTCCCAGACAAACAATGAATTGCCAACAGGTCTCTATGTGCAGCAAATGCCATACCCTTGCTTTGTGGATGATGTGTAAGTGTGAACGCTAAATCATATGCTACAGCAGAAGTTATTTTGATAAACTTTGAACCTACTTGCTCCACTTTAGATGTTTGCCCTCTAACCTTGTCTTAAGACGATTTTAAGTTTCCCAGAACAATTTTTACAAAGCATGCCTCTGAGGCTATGGCAATTATCTGCTTTTCTCACATGTTGATAAAGATGGAGAAGAATAAATTACTCTGGGAAAGTTGAACATCTTACACTGTACTAAACTGTACTTATTATGTGCCCCTTTGATCATCCTATCAGTTCTCTTCAAACAATAAATAATTCCATGAAACAGAACTTCTATTTATTGGTGCTTAATGGCTAACAGCAAAGCAACAGGGACTTTTTGTACAATATAACAACATTTGACAGCATAAACTTGTTTTTGATAGTATGGAGAAGGCTTTGAACCCCTGTTGGGTTTTATTGCGATATGGGGCACAATTGGGGAGATTTTCCCTCTCTTCCTGTTCTGCTGATAACAGTTTTACCAGACAGGAAGTGAGGGTAAATCTCCAATGCCAACAATGACAGGACTTAAAATGCTTTCTTTTTAGTAGAGGGAAAGAAGGAGGATTTTTTATTATATTGTCCTTCTTGCCCACTCTATCCAAAACTAAAAAAAAAAATATCAATGTATACGGTAGAAGCAGAACTTTTAGAACATTGTGGAACAGCTCTAAAGAAAAGAAAGGTTGTAGTGGTTTATCACGTCAATATCATTCAATACAATTCCATTCATGTTAGTATACACTGGAATCATTTCAGCATTTTCTGATATTTTATAATACTTTGTATCTATTTTATGAATCTGGCAAGATTATTCTAACATTACAGTAGGACTTTATGGGGTACAAATGATTTTAAGACCAGATTCAGACTATTAAGCAATGTGAAAAAATCTTTGTTGGTGCACTGCCGTGCCATTCATTCTAAGACCTTATTCAAGACCTTATTCAAATGGGCTTTTTACGGCCAGCAGTGAATTCCAGCAGCCAGAATCACAGGTGGTTCCAGAGAGCCGTGGCAGGGAAGCCTGTACAAAGCAATGACAGGCTGTCAGAAACTGCTGCAACTTTCCAACACTTTTTGCATGTATCCACACATAAAGCAGTTACATGTGGCTAGGGATAGATGGCCAGCCCTGAATGCAGTCTGTCTGCATCCTGGGTCAGTCATCTATCCCTAGCTGCAGGTAACCGCTTTATGTGCAGATACATACGATGAGCGGCAGACAGCTGCGGCAACTGTCAGCGTGTCATTGCTTTGTACAGTCTGAGCGGCTGCTCAGTGTTACTAGCATTACAGAATGTTTACCCTCATAATATAAAATACCTATGTGGAGCCATATCTCATGTCTTCTTTTTTGAACTCCATGCATCCTTATTTTAAATTTGAAGCAGCATACCACTGTAGCCTAGAACAATGTATCTGAGTCATTGTATTGGTCAAATTCAGGAACCAAAGCAGATTTGAAATATGACTGTGGTATATTAATGATTTATTAGTAGAACTGTATTTTTACATGATATTTTCAATTATCTGCCTAGGTTTGTAAAGCCTAGCAAATTTGCACTTACAAAAAATGATGCGCCTTTCAATACTTTACTAGAAAATTCTATTAGAAATATACTGCTTGAAATAACCTGTTATGATTGCAAGATATACCCATGATAGACTAGTAAACTTATTTATTGGAATACATAGGAATCATTACATTTCACGCCTTTGCTACTTGGCAGATTGACAGTCGGCTCCTGGGGGATGGTGCATATGAGAGCAATAGAGGACTGGTCTACCTCTTGGTCATATACAGTACATTTAGCCACTGTACCAGCGATACAATGAACCAAATTATTCTATAAGGAGATTGATTTGCATTCATTTATTTTTGAAAGGAATTTACAATCTTATTAGTACGATAAACATATAAAAGTGATAAGCTAGATATAAGTAATCTTATCATTATGTGTTAATATTTTAAAACCTTGTTTCTGTGTATAGTATATCTATATATAGTATAGTGTACCTATATTTTGAGCAGCTTTACCTTTAATTAAGCCCACACTGCGCTGAATAAGACTAAATGGCTACACAGTAGATTGTACATGCCTTGGCCACCCCTGAAGCTCAGGATATTAAACTGTAGCTCTTTAGAAGTAATGAAGTCAATGCCCAGTTGGCAGTCACTGCTGGCACATTTCTTCTACATAATAGATCATTTTATTTCTTGGCATTCTTCATTTTTCTTTTACATAACCACAATGGAGTTTTCTGTTTACAAATTCAAGAGAATAAAGGATCTGCAAACACAACATCTTAGCTGGTGCTTGTATGGCACATGGAATTTTTTCCAATGAATTATCATATTAAGCCATAATGGAATTTGCCATGCAGTGTAATTTTCCTTCCCTGCTGGCACATGGACCAGTTTAGACAGAAATCATTTATCAGTATGTTTTGGTAAATGGGATGTTACATAGCAATACAATATAGTCATAAGCATTATATAATAAATAAAGACTGAATCAAAAAGGTAGTAGTATTTAATAAGGGTTACCTTAGAATATAGCCCATTTATATAATTTAGCTAACTGCACTAAATGGTAAACCTTTAGAAGACCGAACCAACATAACAAGAGCAAAGCTTACTCTTCAGGCAGAACAATCAATATCAATCACTAATAAAACCCTAACAAAAATCCTAACGGGTATATTAAAATAAATAGTAGTGTTGGAGGGAAGGGGGAACTCCATTGGTGATCTTGATATGACGTTCGCATGTTCACATCAAGGGGAGCTATATAGGCCAGGAAAAGTCACGCGACCAACAACTGGAAGATGTCCTCGTAGCTACAGAGATGCCAATTGCCTATCAAATGCTATTACTATATTCAGGTAGTTGAGTCTATTTAGAACTGAAAGGCAAAAGAGATAAGACATTTAACACTTTAAATGTATGACTGTGATGCATCCCATGAGAGCCCCTCCACTACATACCACTTATCCCATCGATTAGGAGGTTATCACAGTACCTGGAGAACACAACATAAACACTGCAAGGAATTGCAATTGGAATTGCACAAGCTGGAATTAAATACAGGACCCCAATCTTGTAGGCCAATAGTACTAACCAATATTCATCATCATGATACTATTGTTTTATTTCTGCAAAATAATATATCTCTCTAGTTGAGTTAAAGCTAAACTCTAGGAAGATATATATAAGAAAAAAGATTATGCAGCTCTGTATTAATTAATAAATCATTAAATGTATTTTTTTAAAGTACAAGTACCTGAATTTGGCCTTGTTTTAGACTCCTGCAATCCCTGCACAGCAGCGTTCAAGCTAGAAGTGTATGGTGATAGAAGGAGTAATCAGAGAGATGAGCTAATCAGTCTGCTGATTCTCCTTTCACTGACCAGTCTCAGTTTGGGGGAGGGACAAAACCTCTAAGGGTAACCTAACCAAGACAGAAAAAAATGAGGTGCCCTGCCAGACAAGGCTGTGCTGTGCGAGATATGTAAATATCAGGAGTAGACAGACAGGAATAATGCTTAATAAGGTAATGCAGTTAGCAATAATGATGGGTAAAGTGCAAGCACCAATATCAAACAACTTGAGTTCACATGTCTTCAATTAAGGAGGCAATAGATGATTGCTGTTTGCTGCAAGTCACTGCTCTGTATATTGCTCTTTACCTCATTTAATAAAACTGTGAGTGTGTAATGAAATCTGGAAATATTATTAGGGAGTATTGCGCTGAAGAGTATATTTGGTGGAAGTGTTGTTGCAGTCTTTAGAAAGAGTGATAATCAATAAAGACCTATTTCAGTGCATAAGAGTCACTGCTTTGTATCTTCAAATAGGGCTTAAAGGAGAACTATGGGGTTAGGGCTTTTCCCCATAGTTCTCCTAAGGGTAACGGGAGGACACAAACTAGCATCCTCCCATCACCCAAAGCTCAGTATACCGCGAGCTACAGCTCGCCGTATACTGAGAAGGCGCAGGCGGAATGGATCCCGACAATTATGTCTGGATCCACCCATCTGCGTGAGTGACAGCTGGCTCTGCCCATCTAGAGGCAGAGCCAGCTGTACCCGCCCCCTCCCCGTCCGTTCCACCAGTCAGTGCTGAAGGATTAGACAGGGAAGGGAGGAATACAGCCCCTCCCCTGTCACGGCCCTCTGCCGCACAAGATCAAGGAGTGAGCGGGCGCCGGTATGTGTTCGCTCACTTCCCGATCTACTGAGCCGACCTGTGACAGTTTCATTGTCACAGGTCGACTAGAACTATGAGGCTGAGTGAAAATCACTCACCTTATAGTTCTCCTTTAACAATTGGAATAATTAGCCATCATCATGAAAGCACATTTAACACCTACAGACTAATTTTGATTAAAGGTACAATCCGGCGAAAATTGAAAATTAAATTAGAACTCTAGCCTACATTTTTTTTCAGTTCAGAAAAGAGTAGGAAATATAAGAACCTCCGTAAGTTTTTTAAATTACTTTGTCTTTACCAGAAAGGTTTACCTTTGCTTCTTGTCCCAGAGAAATAACAGTAAAGCTGGACATATACTAACAGATTTTCCTCCTTCAGCCTGCAGGTTCCTCCATCCACACTAAACAGCATGGATGGGAGCAGGTCCGGATTTAGGCTGGGTTCACACCTAGGTGTATCGAATATGCGCGTTTATCGCACGTTTCGTGTCGCGTGTTTCTACTGCGATTCGCTGTGAAAAAACGTGCAACAAACACGCGTTTACGAGGGCTACCTGGCTGTATCCCAATGGATACGTGCTGCAAATACGCCCCAAAGAAGCTCCTGTACTTTTTTGGGTGTAGGGCGTTTTGTAGCGCGTTCACACAGCCTGTAATACGCCCAGGTGTGAACCATACCCATAGGAAATAATGGGATTTCGGTGTTTGAGCTTTTTGCAGAGCGTAGGAACACGCTACAAAACGCCCAGGTGTGAACCGGGCCTTACTCTCTCTGCTGCCCCAAGTCCAGGTCCCTCAATGCGTCCCCCTAAATACCCAGACAGTGCCTGCATCTGATTGGAAGCAGGTGCCATTTCAGCATTCATTTTCAGACCAGCTCCCTCAACAAAAGTCGATTGAAATACCAACTTTTGTCTAGTGGAGGCATGCTAACCATCCAAGGCTCAAATTTCAGCCAAGAGGAAGATAATGAAATTTGCTCCATGTTTGGCCAGATTTAGTGAGTAGTAATACATCTCCAACACTTCCCCACTCTATCCAACAGTAAAAAAAAAGGTTTGGCTGGAACTCTACTGTAACCTTTGGGGTGTATACAGGAAGCACAGCCTATCCAGACTTTTGTTTTGGGTTTTTGCACAACTTTTTTAAGGCACTCATTGCAGCACTTTTTTTTTAAGACACTCATTGAGTACACCACTCACCACATGTTGTCAGTAATCTGGTGACCTGAGAACATGACGATGGAGCACCCACTACAGGTACCGTGCAGTACTTCTAATTGGAAAGAAGTACTGCACGGTACCTGTAGTGGGTGCGTTTGACGTAGGACGTTTGTCTCATTTACCAGTCAGAACTAAGCATGCATTGGAAGCTTGTATTGTGATTGGTGAGGCAGGACGGAGAAAGAAAGGTGCTTCCAAGTTCCTGTGGATGTAGTAGACTACAGAGGACACAGATTAGGGTAAATTGAATGAATTTTCTAATTTTAGCATAGCTGAGGGTGCTGGAATGCATTGGTAGTTCGCTGACTGGATTCACTTCTTGCAATATGGTGTATCTAAACCCAAGAACAAAACATAAATACATTACAAATTACCAGCCCTTAGATGTGATCCTTCCAGAAACACACTTCCTGTCCTAGAGTGACAACGCTCTCTCTGTACTGTATCTATGGAGAAGCAGCATTTTTCCCCTCCCTAGAATAGGTAGTGTGTGCAGACTACAGAATAGCTTACCTCATCTTCATTACATAGGAGGGAGTGGTTTCTGCAGATCCGAGTGGAACTGGTTAGAACTGAGAACTATTCCTGAGATAACGCCACTGCGTGCACAGGAGGTTAAAAGCTCACTGGGTTTCTGGCAAGTTTTTTTCACTAATTGGACAGAAACAACAAAATGCTTTCAATTGTATGGTATATTTCACAGTCCAAAAAGAAGTAAATAAAATAATGAAAATGTTAGCACTTGAATGAACTTTAAATTATGCTCAAATGTTATTCACGTGAATATCTATTCACAGTGATATAAACCATTGAACCCCAGTTATTCATTTGCTCTGAACAACCGATAACAACAAAACAAAAGAAAAGTCTTAATACACAATGTAGTGCCTATTTTTGTATATTTTTAAAGTGATTGTGTTATTTTTTAAACTTCAACTGCTCTTAACAACAATTTGTTTGTATCTTTATTTTGCAATATAGAAAAAGTGCCCCTTGCAAAGTCAATTGGCTTGTCAATGTAAATGGTTTTCTTGGACACCTGTGCAAGTCCGCTACACTGCTGCAATGTTTAAGAACAAAGTCACTTTGCTCCTTTGTGCACTTGCCTGACCTCTGGTGCTAAAATGTACTATAGGAATACTGGAGTTGTGCATGAGTCTACTGTATTATGTGGCATTTAGCATTATCACTTTTTAGGTGTGACACTTTCTTGTATACATATTTAATGCTATTTTATTGATTAAATTCTTTTAATTTTGCAGTTTTATGATAACACTGAATCGATGCTTCCCAATTTTCATGGTGTTGTCTTGGATATACTCCATCTCCATGTTGGTGAAGGACATTGTTCTAGAGAAGGAACTGCGTCTGAAAGAGACTATGAAAAATTTGGGTGTCACTAATGATGTCATTTGGCTCACGTGGTTCATTGAAAGTTTTAGCATCATGACTCTGAGTACCTTACTTCTCACCATCATTATTGTGGTAAGTCCCAACTCAGGTTATCCGTTATGGTTTAAACTATAGCGGTCATGTCTGCCAAAGCTTATAAACAATCAGTACTGGTTAAGTGCAAATGCATTTTGTTGCATATGACAAATTAATGTCTTTCTGCCTTGGGAGGACCCTGGTTACTAGTCTAAGGCCCCTTTTACATGGATATTCTGATCGGGTCCACCTGTCAGTTTTTCAGGTAAACCTGTTCGGATGCCCAATGTAAGTTTATGGGCAGCTGGATCTAAACGGACAGGCGTCCGTTTACACCCGCTTACCCCCGACTCTGACCAGGTCTGGAAAAACAAATGGAACAGTTCCGTTTCACCGGAACTGATCGTGCCAGATTCTGGGTAACCTGATGTAAACTGACACATGTATGTTTACATCCGATTCCCCATAGACCGACATGGGGTCTGGCAGTTTTAGTTCTTTCCTTCTGATCCGTACTGCTCTGATCAGGAGGTTTTCCATGCACGGATCCCCTCCTGTGTGAAATGGGTCTAAGGCTGCATACAGGACCTTGAGTTTTCCAAAAAGGTAGATGATATGAAAGAAAAGTATATTGTGCTTCACAGAAACAGCTTTCCACTGCTCCAACTCTGTTACCCACATCATTCAACATTTTAGAATTTGAGAATCTCAATTATGGTTAAATATGAGCCTTGCTTATATCGACTGCCCCAACCCTACCATCATGTTAACCTCACCAAAACCTCACCCATTTGTAGTAATTCTTGTAGCTCTTAAATCTGGATTGCCCCATTAAATTGAATATATTGGAAAGTATTTGTTAATTTGCAGGTATTGTTAGGCTGGTTGGCCAGAGAGCTCATATGTTTAATCTAAACAAATGGAATCATTTCACATGTTATGTGTAACCTCTAACAGACAAATATAGAGATACATATTTCTGAGACTTCCCCTCTACAGGTGCCTCACAGCCATTTCCCCATAGTCTGGAGGCATGTGTATTGCTTGACCTGTATTTCCGTAATGGCTGAATGATTATCTGCAGGCTTCGCATTTTCTTAGAATTTCAGTCAGAGAAAACGTGCTTACTACATTCCAATACACATGCCGAGATCAAGCCTTGATTATATTGTTGTCTTGTCAAATCTTCTAGAGCTGATAAAGCACGTAGAAAATCTGGAGGAAAGGTACACAGCTTATAGTACTTTACCTTTTGTGGAACTACAATGCTCAACATTCACGAAAACAAAGCCTCTCAAACCAGCAATAGTAACGAATACTGTAACTGTGCTTTCATATAGCGGCATTAAGAGTCTCCTCAGGAAAGCTGGGTTAAGGCATAGACAGATAATCACTGGAGGCTGTTGTGCATTTTGAAACTGTAAATCTCTGGATTACATGCATTATTCCAAATGTTGTATACCTTTAAATATGCTGGAAGTGCAGAAAATAACTTTTAAAGTTCCATAAATAAATTGAGGGGAATTTATCAAATCTGTAGCAGACAAAATCTGAACCAGCTGTACATGGCAACCAATCAATTTCTCTCTCCAGTTTGTTCAGTCAAGATTTAAAAATAAAAGAGAGAAGCTGATTGGTTGCCAAACTTGCCGTGCACAGCTGCTCCAGATTTTGTCTGCGCCAGTTTTGATAAATTCCACCTCCAATCTTGAGTGTGCTCCAATCTTCCTGTTTTGAGCTGACAACAGAGTGTCTGAAATTCTTAACACATGGTGTCAGCCCTGTCTGCTTCACAGCCCTTTCCTTAACCTCATCACCCCTCCTTGTGCACCAGAAGGTATCAGTTCACAAGATTTCTGGCAGAATCACCAGGTATTTTTTGCACTTATCAAACAAATATAACAAAACACTTCCAATTGTATATTTAACAGACCAAAAGGGAGCAAATAAGAGAAGTTCATGGTTAGGGTTTATATACATTTTAATAAATTGCTACACCTTGTAACAATTGTAAACAAATGTTGCCTAGTCCTCAAACAGACTTCCCTGAGACTCCTAATAAAAATATTTATAGTGTGTGTTGCACATGAACATTGTTACTCTTTGTACCACTACTCCTCTGGGTGGTGTGGAATGACCGTTAGGGCTTGTTCACACCACTTAGAGTGCGTTCAAGTGTGATTAGCTGCTGGAATGCATTGTATCACACACTAAACTCCCCTCTGCGTTCTGGGGATGTCAATGGCACTGCAGCCACACCCCGCCTACAGTGCATTCGCCCGCACCAGAACAAGTGGCACAACAATGCCTGCGTTCAGGTCCAGGGTGATTGCAAAGTATAGTGCGTGCAGTATTTTTTGGGATCACACTGGACAAGAACACAGGCATTGTTTTGCCATGCGTTCTGGAGGGGGTGATCACACTCCAGGCAGCGGGCATAGCTGCGGGGCCATTAACTTCAATGCACCGCCACGCCCCCTCCTGCTCCAGGATGCAGGTGGGGGAGTTTGGTATGCATTTCAGCAGCTAACCACGCTAGAATGCACTGTCAGTGGTGTAAACAAGCCCTCAAAGTTGTATAGCAGACTGACTTCTTTGAATGTTCCAGTACTTGCAGTCCTGATCACTTCCACTCTTATGGTTAGATATTTAGCTTATGGCGGGATAAATAATGTGGGTGCCAGTTACCGAAAGCCTTTCTCCAAGGAAATTAAATCTCCCCTTGCAGTGAGGCTGCCCCTGCACTGCAAGGCTTAACTGAACATAAGTGGAAGAGGGGCCACTTTTGGAGCCTGCTGGAGACGTGATCAAGTAAATAATAATCCTTTACGCAGGTACCCTAGACATAAGCAACCAGCTACCCTTTGCGGTGTTGGGGAGGCCTCACTGCAGGGGTTTTGAGATGCTCCCACCAGGCAGATATCTTTTTACTCAGTTCCTTCTATACAAACCCCCCAGCAAGGCAACTGTAATCTAGCAGAACATTGCATACTGGCTCAATCTGGGGCAGAGCCCAAAGTAATAAGAACCCTATAGAAGGTTGCTCCAGACATTAATCACATTCCTTAAAGTGACATTAAACCCTCAGATTTTTTAACATAAAACAATACTGTAATGTGTGCCTTACTGTAATCCATTGTTGTTTCCCTTCTCTTTGCTGCTCTTCTCTTTGCTACTCTTCATTTTTAATCTGTATCTGTTCTCATGCTGGGCAGAACTTCTGTTTTGGAGCAGACTGCCTTGTCTCTGAAAGGGATACATGGTGTCTGTGTGTTGGTTTGCAACATGAGCCAGCACTACAGTAAGAGGCACTCAGCCGCAAAGGGAAGTTCTCCCCAAGCATGAGAAGACATGAGGATTTAAAAGGAAGAGCAGCAAAGAGAAGGGAAACAACCATGGATTACAGTAAGGCACACATTACAGTATAGGTTTATGTTAAAAAATCTGAGGGTTTAATGTCACTTTAAGTTTAAACCACTGATCAAACTCCTCAGTGACTGACTGGGGTGGACAAATATTCATAACTCATTGGTTCTTCCCACACTGACTACTGGAGACACCTCTACGGGAGCAGTCAGGAACAATCGTTATTTTAAGCTTAGGAAAACCTGAGGAGCACAGAATAAATAATCGAATGCTTAGGCTGGCTACAGCCTAGCTGCTAAAGCAAATGCAGAAAAACTAACTAGGAACACTCCAGCATATGGCAGGGTTCCTACATTTGCTTTGATAGATCTATAGTATAAATGGCTATACATGTTTATTAAAAGGCAGATTCCTCACTAGGACTGGCGGTGCGTGAAACATCTACATGTTTCCAAACCCATTAGGACACAATCCTCAATGCAACATGGTAAAACTTTGTGCTGTACTGGAGGATGCATGCTATTACCACCATCCTTTGCTCCATTAAAAAGGGAAAAATCTGTCCAGTACTGTATTTTACACTCAAGAGTCCATCTGTATAACAGCTTGAAGGTACATGCATAAAATGAAAGTCATATGCCACTACGCTGACTGGACATCAGAGCGTCACCAAAGGCAATGGATAGGTGAGGGTCAGTGGCGTAACTACAGAGTTATGGGCGCCCGGGGCAGACATTTTGTTTTGCCCCTCCCCCCCATTATATAAAATCCACTGTAACTGTACCCCCACCCCCCACATGTTTTTTATTTTAATTTTTTTAATATTTTTAAAATATTTAATTTGTATTTATTTTTTAATAAACTTTTTAAGACCCTTGATATTTCCCTTTTAAAATAGAAAAAGAGATTGAGAACACAGAGTCCTCAATATCTTTTTCTGTGTCCCCTGTTATTAATGAACAGGAATCCTCTATACTGAGTGTTCCTGTTCATTGAGAATATAGTATGTTTACTATAACTACAATTATGAATGAACAGGAGGGGATATAGATTACTCCCATTCATTCATAATTGAGGATATAGTAACCATACCATGTCCTCAATTATCTACAAACACTCAGCGATCACTGATCGCTGAGTGTATATAGCCTGCTCTCCTCTCTGACACACGCTGTCACAGGACGCTGAGCGAGCGGTGTAGGAAGGAAAGCCCAGCCTCCTGTGACAGCGCTGTCTCCACCCCCACACCGCTCTGCCGGACTGTGATAGGCGGCTGAGCGGTGTGGGAGGAGAGACACCGGCCGATTACGGCGGTCTCCTCCCGCAGCGCTCGGCTGGCTGTCACTTTTTCTCCTCCCTGCTGGGACAAAGAGCAGCGGCCAGCGGGGAGGAAAGAAATCACGTCTGCGCGGACAAAACGGCAGGAAAATGGCACTTCATCTTTTCGCCCGGGGCCAGCACACCGGCCACCCCCTCCCCGGTTGTTACGCCACTGGTGAGGGTTAACGCGTTTCAATGGTTAAACCATCTTTGTCAGAACCAAAACCCTATCTGGTCAGATAGGATTTTGGTTCTGACAAAGATGGTTTAACCATTGAAACGCATTAATCCTCACCTATCCATTGCCTTTGATGACACTTTGATGTCCAGTAGGCGTAGTGGCATATGACTTGCATTTGATGCATGTACCTACAAACTGTTAAACACATGGACTCTTGTGAGTATAAAATTAGTTTTATATCAATTTTTATTAAAAAGCGGTATCACACATTTTTTGCATGCATTATTGAATACAGAGCTGCATTAATTTGTGATTTTTTTTTTTATTTGCCTAGGGTTTAGCTTTAAGAAACTGGACAACAGAACATGTGATCTCTAAGGATTGAAATATCTCTTTTTTTTTTGTTCTGGGCCAAGTTAATATGCTTAATTATTTTCACATTTTTTCCATAGTCCACAATCTGCTGTTGTATGCCTTTTACAAAAGCAGCAATTCCTGTGATGCTTCATTCATAATATGTATTTGTATCTTCTGTCATTTGGTGTTTTTTTAGATCAGTTCTTCTATGTTCTCTGAAAGAGGTTCTGCTTTATTTCCCCTCCTTTCTTATCACTGTTTCAGAATCACATTTTCCTGCACTCTCTTGTTTTATCCACAATAAGAGCTCACGCTAATTGAGATTCCTTTTCTGGTTGCAGGGTGGCGGAGTCCTTCACTACAGCAATCCTTTAATCCTGTTCTTCTTTCTGATGGCTTTCACGCTCTCCACCATCATGCAAGGTTTCCTCATGAGTGTCTTCTTCTCTAAAGCCAACCTGGCAGCGGCCTGCAGCGGGGTCATCTATTTCACACTCTACTTGCCACACATCCTGTGCTTTGCTTGGCAGGACCGCATGACTTTTAAATTGAAAATAATGGCAGTAAGTTTTTGTTTTTGGCTTTTAACAGAGTAATGTGCTATTCTGGTGTTTTGTTTACTTTACCATTTGTAGCGTTAGGTTGAAAGAAAATATTGGAAAAATGATCTTAATAATTAGCAAATGTGAGCCTGCTCATCAATGGATTCACTAAGGCAGATTTTAAAAAAATATGTTTTATTGATAAAATATGCAGAGCGGGAGCTTGTCATCAACTTGGGGAGAAGAGGTAGGAGGAATAAAGGAAGCTAGGGAGCTAAATGTAGTCTATGTATGAGTGATTTATAAAACCTAAATATTTGGTCAGGTGTCATCTCCCTTGAACTGATAATGTGGGTGGGGATGGGGGAGACAGAGTGGAATCTGATCATGGTGTAGAGGATAGGGGTGGTGGGGCAATACTTGAATCAGGGCTTGGTGAAAAAACAGTACAGGAGTTAACTTTTGACAGTAGAAAAGGGTAGAGGTGACAGTATGGGTGCTGTGGACTGGGCATAGACAAAGCTTATGTTTGCATAAAAAAGAAGTCTCACTTCTTTTTTTAATGTTTCCTGTCCTCCAGGGGACAGAGCACATGCAGTAATTTGTCCTGTCTTTCTAAATGGTGTATAATCAGTGGCGTAAAAATAGCCATAGCGACCCAGGCCGCCTCTATGGGGCCCGGGCCTTGGGGGGCCCGGCCAGAAATGGGGTGTAACTAGAAATCACAGGGCCCCATACAAAATTTTGCTATGGGGCTCTGTGATTTCTAGTTACGCCCCTGTGTATAAGGCTGCTGCGCATGGTTGAACAGCCCCCCACTGCTGTCCTACCACACAGCTAGCAAGGATATGAATAACTAGTGAGTTTTGATCGATGGGAGGGGTGTCAAAACAAGGTTCCTGTTCCGACTGAAAAACACAGACTGCAGCACATGGAACAGGAGCCTCATTCTGACTTACTTAATAAGTCATTCTTCTTCAGTGAATGTCAAAATAAATAAAGATGTGTGAGCTTCCTATATGAATGACACTCTGTTTAGGAGTTTAGTTCAGGTTCTAATCCCAGTAAAAGAACAAGGGGCAGTGGCAACTCTGTCTGACTTACCAACCCCCAGAAAATCAACCTTCTTTGTGGGGAGGGACAGATAAGCAGGAAGGCATTCATAAAGCTCATATTTTCTTCTAAAAATACACTGATGGATAATTGCAGAGACAAAGCAAGGTATATGTACATGCATTTATACATCAGTACTATATTCTTTACTAATCATGAGAGTTCTTTTTTAAGATACAACCAGTCCGCGTTGGAAACTACGTATTCTCATGTTTCTAAAACATGAGAGCCATTGAAGGGTATTCTGCCTAACTATGTCTGTGCCAAAAACAGTCATGCAAGCACTGTGGGGATTTGACAATACTACTTGTAATTCTTGAAGATACATATGTCTCACTTTCATCTCACCCTTGTGGATCTAAAATTCTTCAGATCTTCCAACATAGAATTCATTACGCAAATAATGTTGTTGCAGAGCCTTTTGTCCCCAGTGGCTTTTGGATTTGGAACAGAATATTTATCTAGATATGAAGAACAAGGCCTTGGCCTCCAGTTTGGAAACATCCGGAAAAGCCCAGTGGAGGGTGATGAATACAGCTTCCTGTTCTCCATAGTCATGATGCTTTTTGATGCCCTTGTGTACTGGACTCTAGCGTGGTACATTGACTATGTCTTTCCAGGTAGGCCTACCACCTTCAAAAGTCAATGCCCTAATAATTAAAATAGACATGACCTTAAGCTCTGTTAGGATATTTTAATTTAAGATAATACACTCTCTAGGTTTATACTGTACATTTTCTTCGACTAGTCATTAAACATAATATCTAATTGCACTATTTAACATAAAGATAACTATTATAAGGTATACCCTTTAATCTGTACATGAAATATAATCATGAAAATATGGCAGAGCAGGGAAATAAACTGTTTTATTAAATACCATCCCCAGGTTTTTATTATAGGCTGACAAATGGGAAAAATGTGAAAGCCACTAAAGTAAGGTAAAACTAGTTTATTTTCTGACCTAAGCACTTATGCAATGTTTCCTGGATGTCGTTGTTCTCTCAGTGATTGGTTTAACATTTTGCCTAGAACTGCGCTTTTAACTTAACATGTCACCTTGCCCATTCTACTGTAAGCTCCATGTTGATCTGTGTCAGAGTTTACACATGGCTAATGACTTTCCCCATGCCCCATTTAACAATGCTCCAGTCTGGTGACTGGCCACTCAGGCACCTGACATGGAATCATAAGGGAAGAATTGATGTCACATGCTCCAGCAGGCAAATGGCAGGAGAGCATATTGAAGGTAAGTATCTGTAGGGAGTAAGAAGCATCAAGAGAACAAGTCATTTTGTTCTGAATGGGCAAGTGCCCGGTGTACTTAAATACATACCTCCCAACTGTCCCTCATTTGGAGGAACTCTTTGGAGGGTCTCTTGTTTGGAACTAAATTCCTCTGTCCCGCTTTCCTCCCCAGTTGCCCCTCTTTTTGTCCGATGTACAGATATCTATGAAAAGGCACTATTTGGCTTCCAAAATGTATTATGCACTTAAACCTTTATCTTATCTCTTAATTATCTTGCTTGCTATTTCGAAAAGCCAGTAGAAAGGAAAAGTAATGTGGCATATCAATTCTTAATGGCCCACATAACTGGGGTCTTGGCAAGCCAAAGTGTACCTCTTTCTCATCTCAGAAAGTTGGGAAGTATTCTTAAATACAGTGAACGAACCTGTCGGCTTTTCATGTAAGTCAACTAATTGAAGCATTAATAGTGAGTGGTCTCATTTACACACTAAACACCTGACATTCTGCATTCCTATTGGATCTTCTGTGTGGCCGAAGCACTCTGTATTTAAATGTCCTAATCCTCTAGTTTAACCTATCAGGTCTCATAATAAACAGATCTGCCTCTGTTTCAAAGTATTATATCAGCTGTGAAGCATATTCATCTGTTGTACAAACTGTGCAACAAAGCACAGGCTTTTAGATTCAGAGAAATTAAAAAATGTCCCTACCTAGCCTAACGAGAGCTGATACAGTACTTCTGTCCTCAAGTGCTCCAGCGTCAACTAGAATGGTGTGCGGAGGCCTAGTTTAGCTATAGAAGACAATGTCAGACTGACATTCTTCATTTTAAGCTCAGCACATGTGCCATATCTGTCACAGGAAATAAGGGTCATATGCCATTTTTCTCTGTGGCTTGATGCAAACTGCTGTTTAAAGGTGCATATGAAAACCAGTGAGAACTTCTCTGCATCTGAAGTCTGTACTTCTGTGTGATTAGGGGTGACTAGTTATGTTCAAAATTGCACTACTCTTTAAATGGATCTTTGCAGTAGGAATATTTTCCATCTGCCACATTCTTTCTGTATTATAAAAAGTAATTGTGCTTAGTTCATATACATTTTTTTTTCACTAAAGTCCATGTATTATTTAATCTGTAGATCCCTATTCCAGTCCCTTATCCACATGCAACAATGTGATACACCAACATTTAGAATTATGGCTGTGCCATATTATCATAAATGTGGGTGCCCTTATTTAGATTCCAGTTCTAAGATGCACTTAGGTGTGTCCAAATATAGGTTTGTGCAACACATTAGCAATATACTATATGAATGCCTATCGGATGGGAGGGGGACCTGTGCTCTACAACAGGATTGCAGGATACTGAAATAGACGGTTAAGTCTAACCAATTATTACTAACAGGTGATCCCTGGTAATGAATCTGCACTGAAAAGGAGATTGCAGGTTCATATTCATTGCATCATTTCATACATGCTTATGATGTCAAAGACAGATTCCACCTCTTTTGCCACTCACCATACTTCTTATATATTGCAAATAAAATTAGAAGTAGCTCACCTTGCTAGTAGAACTGTTATTGACTGTAAAGTGCACCAGTCTAGAGCCAGGAAGAACAGGGGAGCTGGAGCTGTATCCCTGCAAGTCCTTTTGAAGCTTTATGTTTTAATAGGAGGTATGCATTTAGGTCGCTTGTTTTGTGTTAATATATTAGTGCTTTACTTCTATGTGAAACTGCCCTGTGCCAGCACAACTCTGGGGACCTGGGCCACGTTTCTGACAAAGAGCACAATAGTCAGCTCTACATAAGTCCTACATGCTCCCTGCACAGTGCTTTGATTAACATAACTCATGCATCCTGGGTTGTTGATTGGAGCACTGTGCAGGGGTTGTGTTGAGCCACTAGATTTCAGATCAGTGGTTCTGGTCTCCAGCATGCTGCACAGGGTAGGTTTATATAATAGTAAAGCACTAGCAAATTAACAAAACATAACACATGTTCTTTACTTTGTATGCAGTCTAATTGCCTACCCGTAATAAAAGATAAAGATTCAATTGGGCTCTAAGAAAAATGGAGCAAATGTAAAGGGTCAATATTTCTTGGTCTACCATATTGTAAATGCTTCCCTAATCAAATGCATTATACCTATTGAACCCATAGTGACACAAAAATATTCTGTATGTGTTCTGTAATCATTTTTATTTTATCTGTATTTTAGGGGAATATGGCATCCCAAAACCATGGTACTTTCCATTCTTGGCAAACTATTGGTGTACCTTTCAGAATTATTGGGAAGGTGATGGTAAGCAATATCATGCCTTAATCTTACTGAATGTGTAGGCATTGTGTGACTGAGTAAAAAGATTAGATACAGTGCAGTGGGAATATTATTGAGTGGCTTTGAACTTCTAATTGGCCTATAATTAATTATATTTATAGAATTACTGGGCAGTGACTCATCCTAATCACTTTGATGCTAATGAGAAATTTCAAACAGAGAAAAACTAGGCTAATTTTAGAGCAGTGTAATGGGAGATAATCTTGTAGGGTCTTGTAATAAATTAAGATTTATTTTTGTAGGACAATGTTAGGAATTCATAAGTTTGCAGCGGTATTTCTGAACAACCACCAGACTCATACACTGCTGTGAACAGTCTATTTTTATAACTTAGTCACATGTTCCTCTATTATGCTTTTGATCGTCCTGTGAACCTAAACCCCAAATAAAGAATATCTATCACAATTTCTGGAGTGTAGAAATCTAATATTCAAGCTTAACTCCAGGCAAACATTTAAATACACAGATGAAATACAGATTCAACAAGGTGTTGGAAACATTCCACAGAGATTTTGGTCCATATTGACATGATAGCATCAGGGGCCCAAAGTGTGCCAAGAAAATATCCCCCACACCATTTCACCACCACCAGCAGCCTGAACCTTTGATACAAGGCAGGATGGATCCATGCTTTCATGTTGTTTATGCCAAATTCTGACCCTACCATCTGAAATTGAGACTCATCAGACCAGGCAATGTTTTGCCAATCTTCTATTGTCCAATTTTGGTGAGCCTGTGTGAATTGTAGGCTCTGTTTCCTGTTCTTAGCTGACAGGAGTGGCACCCAGTGTGGTCTTCTGCTGCTGTAGCCCTTCTGCTTCAAGGTCCGACGTGTTGTGCGTTCAGAGATGGTATTCTGCCTACCTTGGTTGTAACAAGGGGTTATTTGAGTTACTGTTGCCTTTGTATCAACTTGAACCAGTCTGCCCATTCTTCTCTGACCTCTGACATCAACAAGGCATTTTCATCCACACAACTGCCGCTCACTGGATATTTTCTCTTTTTCGGACCATTCTCTGTAAACCCTAGAGATGGTTGTGCGTGAAAATCTCAGTAGATCAGCAGTTTTTGAAATACTCAGACCAGACTGTATGGCACCACCTACCATACCAGGTTCAAAGTCACTTAAATCCCCTTTCTTCCCCATTCTGATGCTTGGTTTGAACTTCAGCAAGTCGTCTTCACCACGTCTAGATGCCTAAATGCATTGAGTTGCTTCCATGTGATTGGCTGATTAGCACTTTGTGTTACCAAGCAATTGAACAGGTGTACCTAAGACAGTGGCCGCTTAGTGTACATATGAGAACTGTTTTACCTTCCAAAAGATTTGTATTTGGTCCATCTAGTCCTTAGAATTACACAGCTCTACCACACAACACAGCCTTGTCTGACAGGGCAAGAGACCTACTTTATCTCTGCTGCATTTAAATAACAGTTACAGGTCTTGTTCCCCCTATCCGTGGTGATTTGACAGTGAAGGAGAAGCAGAAGACTGATGAGCTCATCTGTCTGTCAGCATGCTCCTATGAGCACTGCATCACAACTTGCTTGCTCCTATTGCTGCTCCTTCTTCTCCCAGTTTGAGCTTGTCTGTAGAGGGACACCATTGTCAGGATCCTTCCCGGCTGCAGCATGAATCTGTGTTGTCTGCTGACTTTGGGTGACAGGAGTACATTATGTAATGTACTCCTGTCACCCAAAAGAGAATAAAGCAAAAAATAAGTTTTGTTTTACTGCTCTTTGTTAGGATCTTTCCAGGCTGCAACGTGGCTCTGCGCTGTCAGCAGATAGCGGTTATAAGTCTGTTATCTGCTGACTTTGGGTCACAGGAATACATTAGTAAATGTACTCCAGTGACCCAAAAGCAAAGTAAAGCCAAAAAAAGGTTTGGTTTCACTTCTCTTTTAAGGTCAATAACTAATATATTTAAAGCTGAGCTCCAGGCAAATATAAAAGGCACAAAAGAATGCAGCTCTGTAATCATTCATACATCATGAAATGTATTTTTAAATGCAAGCAGGGTAAGTACCTAAATTTGACTAGATATCCAACTTATGCAGTCCCTGTGCTGCAGGGCTGAAGGGTAAGAGGAAGAAGCAGCACACAGAGCCAATCAGTTTATCTGCTGACAAGAAGCATACTGGTAGGAGTAGATGAGAGATGAGCTGATCACTGTGCTTCTTCTCCTCCTTTCTGTAAGCATTCACAGATCCCAGGTCCAGGACAACCTGGGCTCAGAGAAAGTGGGCTGAATTCAATCTTATGATGAATTGCATCTGTATTTTGCAAATATATCATATTTTCTGTATAAATAAAGAATAGTTAAAGAAAGAGGAAGTTGTTTGAATGATGCTGACCATCAGACTGAGGACACCTAATAGAAGAAATACATTCTGTAGGGAAAATCTCTGGATTGAAAGAGAATATTGCAGCAAAAGCTGGTTTTGATATGTTATCTTATAATATTATAATATTATATATATATAATATTATATAATATAATATTAGGATATTGATTTGTATCTATTTTGGGCAGCAATTCTTTATTAAAATTTCAACAATGCAATTCTAATTTTTTTGAAATAGTATTAAGGACTATTTAAGGTTATCCTGTCCAAGTTGCTACATTTGTTGACTTAGGCTGCTACAAGATATTAAGTGCATAGTGACCTAGAGTGGCCGAATAAGCGTTTACGTACTTAACTTAGTTTGACATTTGTAATTTTGTATTTTACTCATGCAAGTTTTTTTTTGTTTTTTTTTTAACGACTTCAGGTGATTCAGTAGAAACAGAATTTTCTGTCCATGAACATGTGGAAGATGGTCCAGAGGATAGAACTGGTAAGGACAAGAAGAGAAAATCCTACTAAAATTGGACTAAATATTGTTAGTGAAAATAGGATAATTTACTCGGTATAAGTAGAAAAATTTAATTGTATCACCATTGAGGTACACATTTTGTATGCCTTTTAAAAAACATCTGCAATGGCTATACCTTTATGGCTCCATTCATATATAGCGTTTGCGCTTCCCATGCGGTTTTCCGTGCAGAAGAACGGACGACACGAAAATGCAAAATTCTTTACATCTGCACGGATACCGCTCGTTTATGGCTATTACTATAGCTGCGATCATGCGGAATCCGCCCCTGAAATCGTGCTTGGACTATTTTGCGGGACGTGCACGTTGGTACCCACAATAGTCTGAACAATGCACATTAAAATGCATTTAAATGTTTAGAGCGGTTCTGCGTGTATTCATGCGGCCACATATGCGTGGAAAACCGCTCATCTGTGAATGGAGCCTAAGAGGGCATTTGCAATGGCAATTTTTTTGGGGAGACTATACAGATATGAGTGAGGAGAGACAGCCAGGGAGAGGATGAGGAGAGACAGCCAGGAGAGAGAGGAGAGACAGCCAGGAGAGAGAATGAGGAGAGACAGCCAGGAGAGAGAGAGGAAGAGGTAAATGTATAACTAATATATTTTAAGATGTTTTCATTATCTGGCATTTTAATATGCATACCCATATGCTCTTAGGTCAACTTCCTGGAGATGAAAATAAAGACGACCAGAATAAACCACGAGAAAAAGTTGTAGATCCAAAAGATGTCCCTGACAATAAACTCACAGACAAGGATGCCTGCAAACATAATGCTAAGAAAGAAAAAGAGAAAGAGGAGAAGCAGGCGAAAGATGAACAGGAGAAGGAGAGAAATGACAAAGATGAAACATATGGTAAAAGCTAGTTGCAGTAGGCTTTTAGAAAAGAATAAATGATAACAAGTGGAGCCTTAACCAAAGCAGAGTTTGTTTATTATTATTACCAATATCTTTAACCCCTTCACGACTAACGACGTAGCTGGCATTGGGGCTGTTTAAACAGACCGGCGGGACTCTATTTAAACTTGTAAAGCTGACTGTCGGCTTTACAATAGAAGCGATTCTGGTCACTCAGCTGTCGCCAGGTTGCTTCTACAGCCCGGTGAAGGGATGTGTCCCCCCCCTCCCCCGAAACCCGCACTGTGCTTCCCGGGCTCCGATGCCCCTTGTACGGGCCCGGTACCGGCTTCTTTGGTGTCAGCTGGGGAGCTGGGGAGGAGATGGACGAACTCCGTTCGGCTATCCCCTCCCTGTTCTATGGGAATGGGAACGATGCAGATTGCAACACTTCGACATAGCTGTCAAAGTCCCAAAGCTGCTTGTAAGCCCCCCTATGTGATAGCAATTAAAGTAAAGTAAAAAAAGAAATAACAGTTTTTAAAATTAACATTACATAAAATAAATCTAAAAATATTTTTACAAATGTTTAAAGTCCCCCGCCCCCGTGATCACGCACGTCGCCACGTAAACAAGCATCGGGTAAGCTTACGTATGAAAACGACGATCGCGCTACACATGTTGGGTATCACCGCGCACGCCAGAGTGAGAACAATAATTCTAGGGCCAGTATTTTAGGGTTTCTCTAAACTGATGACCTGTGGGGACTTTTAAAGCGTCGTCTATGGACTTTTTTGGGGAACTGAAGTTTGTTGCCGTTTCACGGACGCACGCAATTTTTAACTTGAGCATGTTGGGTATCTATTTACTTGTTGTAACCTCATCTTTTATATTTTATTTAAGAAAATTGGTATTTTGGAGCATTTAAGTACATTTTTCACTAAATTGTGGGGTGTGATAAGGAGTTGCGCTAATATCGTGCAACATAAAAATTTGCAACTGCCAACATTTTATTCTATAGGGTCTTGGCTTTCAGAAAATATATCATGTTTGGGTGTTTTAAGCAATTTTCAGGCCTAAAATGTGGAATATAACATGGGTGCAAAAAAAGAGGCCTCACATACAGTACATCCAGATAACTGCTGGCTTTGTATTATTTGCATACCTTATTTCTCTTTTCTTCCCCAGTCTTCTGGTAGTGGCCATGTTAACTAAGGGCAGATTACTAGCTCCCCTATTACTTCCTGAAAATCTGTCACATGTGACTAGACATGTGACTAGGACATGTGACCATGCGCATCATCTCAGGAGAGGAAAATGCCTTTCACTGAGATGAGATTTCCAAGCAATGCTCTGCTGATAACCAGGCAATCCCAATGTGCATTGTGTTGGCAAAGTCATTTTGCACTTTTAAAGCAGGAAGTGAATGCTCTGCAAGTGTAAGTATTTCAAAATCACAGCATTTTACACCTGACATGTCTGTTATTATTAATAATCATACATAGAGGGATCCATTGGTAGAATTTGATATTTGAGTGTGAAGATCCGCTTTAAAGTGTATCCACAGCCCAAATCAAAAATTTCTCCCAGCATTTATTTGGGAACACAGAAATCCATTAAACTAGATGTGGTATAGCTTCATCCTCTAGAAGGTTGGACAGTACGCCAAGCAGAAAGGGCACAACTCCATCTGGTAGCTATACATCTGCATGCAGGGCTGGATTTACTCTCTCTGCTGCCCCAATGCCAGGTACCTCAATGCTCCCCCCTGTATGCAGGATGCATACAAGTGATCGCTGAGATCACTTGTACAAAACAAACGGCGGCTTCCCCGCTGTACATTTAGCCCTGCTTGCCCAAAGCAGGGCTAAATGTAGAAAACAACTACCCGCCCGGCACCTGGAACTACATGTCCTGAGCGTGGAGAGGCCCTAAGGCCGGGCCTCGGTTGGCCTTGTGGGAAATCCGGCCCTGTCTGCATGTGCTTCACAAGCCCGGTTTAATGGTTGTCACCAGAAAAGGGAGTGAGGGAACATATTTTACTAACAGATGTCTAGAGTATGGTCTATCCAATGGGACACAGACAGCAAAGAAAACTCACAGGGTTTTAACCTTCCTAAAAAATCTAAAACTAAATCATTGGCTGTATGAACACTTTAACATCTGTCTATTGTTTTTTTTCCCTTGTTAAGTGGAGGGCTGTCTCCTAATGAGCAATTTTTTTAATGAGAGGAATGGAGCAGTGGCGGACCTAAGGAACAAAGGGCCCTGGTGCAAGATTTTTTTTGCCCCCCCCCAACCAAAAAAAAACACAAACTCCCCAATCCACACCCCCTAAAGCAACCACAAAAAAAAAAAAATTTGAAAAAATAGAAAAAAAATAGATCGAAAAAATATTTGAGCATATTTATTTATTACAGAGAAATCTGAGCACTGTGTCAGTGTAAGCAAATTTTACAATAAAATAAATATACTATAAAACACAACAAGATAAGCAGGAACAGCAGAGAAAGCTTTGAATTCTACAACTTTTGCCGGTCACACATTTTTACTCTGTAAACAAATGGGTGTGGCTACGTTCGAATGTGTGACCACGTGGTTGGTCACACATTCCACCGATAAAAAATGGGCATGATTACATTAGACAGTGTGATGACGTCAGCGGTCACATATTCTTACGCAGTCACAATTTGTGATAGAACACCGGACTGTGATAGGAGGCTGGAGCGGTGTGGGATGAGAGACGCTGGCTGCTCACAGTGCTCTCCTCCCACAGCGCTGTGCCGTCTGTGACACTTTCTCTCCTCCCCGCTGGGAAACAGAGCAGCGCCCAGCGGGGAGGAAAGAAAGCAGGGATGCGCCGCTGTATCGGCCAAAAATGGCACTTTCGGCATTTAACCAAAAGTGCCATTTTCTGCCGATATGTTTCAACGGACGATATATCGGTTCATTACTAATATTAAAGCAATGCAGAATGGCAAAGGCTATAGAGGACTACACATCGCAGCAAAACTTTATACAACTATAGCATTTCTGTATAAAGTACTGCTGAGATTTGTAGTCCTCTATAGAGGGTCCCATTCTGCATTGCTGCAATGCAGAATGGCACTACAAAAACCAGCTACGAATAATAATTGTTTTAATTAATTATTTACACTTACCTCTTCTGGCTGGTCTTCTGCTGTTTCCTGCTTGCTGTGGAGTGTGTCCTCAGTCCTCACAGCCGTCCACTCCGATCGATGTGTGCCTGGCTGCCTGCCCTGTCTTCAATTTTTCATGTGTCACTGCTGTCCTTGGCTCGCGGCTCACTTCTTGCAGGGGTCGGTGGGCCCCATAAATATCTGGGTACCCTAACCCGGAAGCGGTCGTGCGCCTAGCCCCCGCCCCCCTTCCTCCAATTCAGGGCATCGGACTCGGAGTGTGGGAAATGGAATGGATCATATTAAGTATCAGTATACTGCTGCGCTGCGGCCGGCGGGCCCCCCATCTCTGCGCCGCGAGTGTCAGATGAACGGATGATCCGACACTCCCGGCGCAGAGACGGCGTGCCTGCCGGCTGCTGGATACCATCTGCACAGGCCAGGGCTGTGCTGGGCCCCTCTTAGGCTGAGGCCCTGGTGCGTCCGCACCGGCGGTAGTTCCGCCACTGGAATGGAGCATGGTAATGGAAATGATGGGAAGTAATGCAATGCTAAAGTAGCCATTATGGTTCTGCAGCTTTGACCTGCTGCAGCACTATATTGACTTATGATATTTCGCCTCTTACACCTCACCTATTCATTTCCAGGCCATTTCCAGGTGGGAGGTGAGGGCGAATGGACGGGGTGAAGGAGAAATTGTGTGTGAGCATGTAGTAAAAAAGAGAAAATTATAAATTTGAAGGTGTTAAAAAAGAAATGGAGATGCAAACTAGGTGGTTATTTGTATAGTTTTCTGTGCTATGTTTTACAAGAGTATTGTAATATGAGGAATGTGGAACAACGTAACGTGAAATGTAATTAAGATATGTATGTTATAAATGGAAATAAAGAGATATTAAGCAAAAAAAAACCTATAAAAATGAAACCTCAAAAAATTCCTGTTTTTCATCTGCAGCAAATCCATTCTTTGAACCAGAACTACCAGGTATGACGCCCGGTGTGTGTGTTCAAAATCTTGTCAAAGTCTATGCAAACAACTACAAGCCTGCAGTGGACCTGGTCAATATCACATTTTATGAAGGGCAGATTACTGCATTTTTAGGGCACAATGGAGCTGGAAAAACAACAATATTGTAAGTTATCCTACCACTTTTTCTTATATAAATACGCAAATAACAGAAATAGTTTGGCTACTATTGCTGGCCTCCTTCTAAAAATACAAGTTGCCTGATTGTTATGTTGACCTACTGGTTTCAATACTCTCCAAGCCAGAATTTTATGTCAGGAAAGTCAGAAAAAAGGTTGGACTCTTTGGGGTTGATTTACTAATGGCAAATAGTCTGTTCATTTTGCGAAGGGAATTTGTGCGTTGCAGGGGACATTTCCACCTAAGCTTAGTGAATAAGGTGAAGGTCTGGCAACTTTCATCACCCAATCATATGCAATAGGGATGCACCGATACTGATACTAGTATCAGTGTCAATACCGAGTATTTGGGCGTGTACTTGTACTCACCCAAATGCTCTCATACCTTCCCCAATACCGGAACTTCCAGTCAGAGGGAGATTTCCTCTGACTGGCAGTGCTGCGAGTGAACATGGAGCCGACTTTCCGGCTAATCAGGAAGCTGGCCGGCGGGTAGTGACTCACCGCCTGGCTTCCTGATTGGCCTGCGGATGCTGATTGGCTGGGAAGCAGGCTTCCCAGCCAATCAGCATTGGGCCAGCCAAACAGGATGGAGACAGCTTCCGGCAAATCAGGAAGCTGGGTGGCAAGTAATGACCCGCTTCCCGGGCTTCTTGATTGGCCGACAAGCCGGCTTCCCGGCCAATCAGAATTTGTTACTCACCATTGGGCTCTCACACCTATCTCTCGTACATCTCTTGGTACCTCTTAAAAGACGGGTTGTGATCTGCAGCGGAGGGAAGAACTCGGGTGCAGACATGACAACTACACAACTCTTGCTAACTCAGACAAGGTAACATTACCTGAAATGAACAAGGTGCAAAACAGCCGGTTCAATGCTGATTGGCTAAGATGCTGTCTTCCCGGCCAATCAGCTTCGATCTGGCCAAACAGCATGGAGCCGGCTTCCCGGGCAATCAAGATGCCGTGTCACTACCCGCCACCTGGCTTCCTGATTGCCCGGGTAGCCGGCTTCATGCTAGCAGAAGTACCGGTATCGGTACTCAGCGAGTACCGAAATATAAATATCGGTACTCATACTTGATACCAAAAGATCGGTATCGGTGCATCCCTAATATGCAAGCAAAAATACTGTTTTATCATTTTGTTTTGCACATGATTATTCTTTTCAAAGTGAAAATTCACCACAATTACCAAGCTAGGGGGAACTCCTCGTGAAAGTGCTTATTCCCTTGCAAAGTGAACAACCTATTTGCCTTTAGTAAATCAACCCCTTGATGTAAATACTTTCTTTGGGTCAGTAACTCAGTATTAAGGACAGAGGGCAAATGTTCACATTCACCATAATGGCAGCCTGTATGTTTTTGCATGACAGATTTCCTGTAAAGGTACTTTGACCTTATGAAATGTTTTTATTATTTTACACTATAGATAGTTATACATGAGGTAGTTTTGTGCTTTTGTGGACACTGACAAAAATTTAGCCGTGTTCACATAGAGGTCTTTGCTACATGATTTCATTAAGTTTACAAAAAAAAAACCTGGAGATAAATGAAAAATGGCTACTATGCTAAACAGACAGGTAGGGCTGAAAAGTGTTGACTGTGTCATTGTAGACTATGTCTCTGTTTTAGTATGGAATTTGTTAAAACAGCATACTCACCACTATCTTCTAAAACAGTACTGAGGGTTAAAAATATACATGTACACACAGCCTTAGGACATTCATCTTTTTCAAATATAGCCATACGCACAATATTTAAGCCACAACCTCACTTACAGTCATCTCATAAGGTAATAATAGATTGTGGTGTGTAAGATGGCATTGCATTCATTTTTTAGGGACATTGAGGGTTGTTCAGACCCATGTTGTGAAGGTTCAGAGCTTTCCAGTCTCTAGGACCTGTAATTGGATTGGATAGCACATGATTGTATGATAGAAGGCAACAGAGCTTCACCTCATTTGCTAAACTAAGAGAGAGTTCCCATGGAAAGTGAAAATTTCCTTGCAAAGGGAACAGCCTATTTGCCTTTAGTAAATCAAACCCCAAGGAGTCATACAACCTGGTGATTAAAATCCAATTTTTATTTGTTAGTCACATGAAAATGCAGCCATGTATTTCAATATGACTACCAAATAAAAACTGTATCCTAAAGTATTTATAAGCTTAAAATTGAATTCCTGGGGCTACACTTCTTTGTCCTTTATAGTATGCATTCTTTTGTTTTCAGAAGCACTGCAAATACATGGTGCTCCTTCAGTCCTCTGCTAATTGAAAGGATTTCTGTTTCTTAGAGACCATGATAAGCACGGAAGCAGATCTTTTTTAGCATGGTCAGATTTTGTATTTCACTTTTTTTTAGAACATAGAGGATGTTGTGCTAATGCATAGCGTGTCTGACGTCCAATGGCAACCTGTGGGACATTGGAACACAGGAAAGCATGAGTGGAACATAATTCGACACTTACAGCTATGCCATGACACCATCCTTCAGCTGGTCATGTGACCAGAAGGGACAGTACCCAATCCCTTCTGGTCACATGACTGCTGGATTAAACTCCTATTTAAAGTGTTTGGTAGCTTTTTAGGCACAACGTATTGACAGTTTAAATAACATAAAGAAAAAATGATGATAGAGCCTGCTTGTTAGTTGCACAATTCAAATAGGCTTTAACCATCAAGCGAACAACTCTTTATATTAAGGCACTCCTCACCCACTGCACACTGATAAGGTAAGCATAGACTCAAAAATATTTTTGGACAACAGGAAACTATCTGAGCAAAAAAACGTTTTTGTTTCTTATAACTCTGTGTCAGGATCCAGAGCACCCCCAGGTGGTGCTGGAGCCAGGTCCTGCAGTTCCTGTGCTCGCCTGCGGGTGTCTCCAGCAGCCAGGGACTGTAAGGAACCTGCAGCTCCAGTACTCACCTGCGGGTGTGCCACAGCTGTGACTGATCATCCCATCACCTGGTGCTTCCTGGGAGGGTATTTAGGCCCTCCCTGCAGTCAGGAAGCTGGCTCAGTATTGCGTCGCCTGCACTTGACTGATGCCCATAAACCTGAACCCTGCTTCCTGAACCCTGCTTCCTATCTGCAGACCTGTCACCGACCGGGCTTGTTACCCGACCACTCTCTTGGATCCTGTTCCTGTACCGTGCTGCTGCCCTCCTGTTAACGACCCGGCTTGTACCTGACCACTCTTCTTTTATACTGAGGCCTGCCATATATCTGCAGGCCTGTTACCCCTCCTTGTTGCTTCCCCCTGGCTGTAGGTGTGTGTTTGTCCCAACGGTGGGTTTATTACTTCACTGCTAAACCTGTGGGGGTTTGAGGGGGGTTTGTAGTTTTGTTGTTGTGTAGCAAATAAACTGTGTGCATAGAACCCTATCCTGTGTGGGCATATTAATTTGGTCATCCTGCGTGGGTACCTGCATGTGGTGTGAGGATGCCTGTGCATGGTACCCTGACACTCTGTTATAACATATATAATGTCTAAAGCTATGAAAGCCATTTTTTATAAAGAAGAAGGTTGTCATGAAGGTTAGAATGTTTTAGTCAGTCTGTTCCCTCCAATAAAGAATATGTTATGGGGTGCCCGCAGTATATTGACATGCATACTTTTAAATTGTGAACTTCCATGTACATGTGGTACATAGCTATGTGTTTCTGATCAAGGCATTTTTTATAGTTCTATCTATTGTAAACATCCAGCCTCTATCTGCACTTCTGGGCTGTTAGCCTTCCTAAGCACTGTGTGCAAAAAAAAAAAACAAGTGGAAGGCTGACCAAAACGTTTTAACCCGATCAAACGTTTGTCTAATTGTGGTGTCTCAAGGATGTCTGTTGCTGTTATCTGTGTCCTATAGACAGACTAATTAGAGAGCAAACATGTCAAAGCTTCATGTATAGAAGTACAACAGGAAATTATAGGTGCAACAGACAATTATAGGTGCTTTTAACCTCTTTGACTGGAAAATAAAGCCAGAAAAACATTTGTGGGAGAAACACTTAATTAGTTAATTTATTCAGTCAATAATTAATTCATTAAATAACGTTGCTGTTCTTTATTCAAAATATGTATGTATGTGTACATTCTAATTATATATTTTACTTCTGTTATTTGCAAATAAACATGAAAACAGGTCGATTATAACTGGATTATTCCCACCTACCTCGGGCACAGTGTGGATTCGTGGCAGAGACATCCAGACACACATGGACTCCATTAGGCAAAGTCTTGGCATGTGCCCTCAACATAACATTCTTTTTCGACAGTATGTACTGAAAATGATTTATTTATATTTAAGAGTATACTATAGCTAAACACATCCTACCTAGTAAATGGCTTTAATTTTTGCAATTGTCTCACTTACCTTTCTGTCCTGTTTTATACATTCCCCTAGTTGCCAGTACCTATTTCTTCTGTATAGCTTTGGATCGAAGCCTAGAAAGACACTTCCTAATGTCTGTGAATTTTCTCATGTATCCAGGTCATGGTATAGCTAGTAGTATTTAGTCACTTGCAACTGCACTTGTTACATAATGTTGAAGACATGTCATAGCTTATCCAAGCCACTTCTTCAGTTCTGGCGAGTGCCAGGAATATACCCCAGCATTTATATCCACACAGATAGCACATACACATTAATCCAATCACCAAGGGAAAGCAGTTGTTGATTTTCAAGAACAGGAGATGAGGCTTAAAAGCTGTGGAACCATTCTCTTCTACATCATCCCATCCTTGGTGTCATGAAGTCCGCATAGGTGTTAAACCTTCAATTTACATGGCTGAAGGTGTGAATTATTGTGAAAACACCTGAGAAGAGATATTAAAACTACAATATATGTGGAAGACAGCTGGTGTCAAAGACCCCCACCCCTGTGTAAGGTTCAAGATATTCACCCCTGTCAAGGTGGTTCCACCTGTCTAATGTGTTCTATAGTTCTGGTACCTCCATCTCTGCAGGGCAGCTGCAGTCTTGCCCAAACACATTAACATCAGATGGAGGCTGGACACCACAGAATCATTTGATAATAGGCTGTAGTACTACCCAGAAACATTGTGTGCTTAATAGCTTTTCAAATCTGGTTGCATGTGATTAGGTAAACAAAATATTAAAGTCCCCCCCCCTTCAAAATATGAAAGTTAATTTTATGAAATAAATATGTAGTTTGCTATTGCTGACCTTCTTCAGAAAATGCTGGTTGTCTGGCCATCTTTGGCTGTAGTACTGTCTAAGTAATGGATGGAGAACAAACAGGTAGCAAATTAAACTTATATAAATATTTAAATTCCTTATTCTTTTTTCTAAGCCAGTTAATCCATTGGACCAGAATGATGGACAGCCAACTAGTATTTTCACAAGAGGGTCACCTATGAAAACCCACATTTTGTCCAATGACAGGTTTTCTTTAAAGGCACATTGAGTGTACTTCCTGACTTTATCACAATGAAGTGTTCTAAAATTCTTCATTTTCATTATTTTCCCAGGACTGTATGTCTTGTGAGTTGGGCAGATTTGTTTTTTAATTAAATATGATGTGGAAGGGTAATGATGTGTCTTATGCTGCCTTGTACTAATCTCAGCAGAAAGTATACAGCCTGGGTCTAGCCTCCATTGAGCTCCAAGGGACATAGGGTACAGTCTGAAAACTAACACGGCTGCCTGCACTTCAGCACAGTTTTACCTTATAAATCGTTTAAGCCAGATCAGGTTCACTTTAAATCTGGTGTCTATCATGAAATTTGCATAAACCCTGAATAGAGTATGATTGGTGTTAAGAGCTCACTCCATGTAGCATTTGTGCAGGTTTCTGCAAAGAAGAAGAACACTTAAAGAGCAATTGCAAGCATCAAGTGAAACCAACCAGAGTAAAATTTGTATACCAATATAACATTATATTAAATCCTGACAGATATGGCAGAAACATGATATTTATCTAATTAGTGGTTTATCGCATGACAGGCTGGCCTATGCTGAGCAAAGCAGGCTGGCCTATGCTGAGCACTTAATAGTGGCAGCATATACCGTTCCATAGCTTCCCCACTGTTCCATGCAGCCTCCAGAAGCAAATACTCGCTACTTAGTATAAGGTAATGTGACTTCCTCCATTTCCCACCCAGCACGCAGCACTGTCACATTGGGGCCGGCTTTCCTTAGCCCTGTGTAACTGTGTCACAAACTGCTTATTCAGGCTACATAGACCCTACATTTCCAATTCCAAGCTCTTTTTTGCAGGAACAAACTCAGTAGAGGATCAGATGTAAATCCCCATATTATGAGTTTTATATTGACTGTCAAGTTAAATCTGTTTTCAGCTCCCATGTGTGCTGGGCAACTCCATGTTTTTATGAATATCAAACAAAATAGAATGTTCTTTCCCATGATGAACCCTTCCTTTTAGAGCATGGTGCTCCACAGAAGTGCCTGTCTTGGTTTTATGTTTCCTTCCATATTATGTCAACTGAGTAAACTTCATCAGTTATGTTCTGCGGTTTACCTTTGAGAGAGAGCAAATATGTTGTAGAGAAGGGTGATATACCAAATATTTTTGTATTTTGGAAGTTTCGAATCTCCTCAATATTCTTAATTCTGCACATTTTAGCTAAGCATGATTTTGCCAGGTACTGCAAAGGTAGTAGAAAAGCACTTGCCAGGTACTTTTGCAGCATGCACACTCAAAAAGGTTGGTTTCTATTCTACTAGTGTGAAGAGAGATAGAAGATATAATCCACTGGTATACACTTAAGCGGGATTGTTGGTTTTGGTTGGAGTTGACTGTTATGCCATTCAATATCTACATACCTAATATTTTATGTGCACCGACTTAAAAATGATGTCTTTATTTATTTCCTACAGTCTAACTGTGGAAGAACATATCCTATTTTATGCCCAGCTAAAAGGCAGATCTAGGATACAAGCTGAGAGAGAATTGGAAATTATGCTGGATGACATTGGAATTCCTCAAAAAAGGCATGAGGAATCTCAAAACCTATCAGGTAACTTTTGTGATCTTGCCACTTAATAATCTTTTCAACTCTTAAACTGGCAAACCGAAAGAGACGAAACATAGCTAGTGGTTTCCTGCTGCCATTAACTCCTATGTATATTAATTCTTGTTCAATGACCTTCATTGCTTAGTCCAATACTGGATGTAATGTTACAAAGTGGACACCACTGTTAACTTTTTATATTATCTTATCCATTTGTCCATTCATGTTTTTGTATGGTAGCTATTTGTATTTTTCATTGTACTGCTCTTATCTGTGTTTCCCTTTTCATTCTTCTGCATGTTTTAGCACTCAGTACCCCCTTTTGTTTTGCTTGTAGGAGGAATGCAAAGAAAACTCTCTGTTGCAATGGCATTTGTTGGAGAATCCAAAGTTGTGGTGTTGGATGAACCAACTTCAGGTGTAGATCCATATTCCAGAAGGTCTATTTGGGACCTGCTTTTAAAATATCGATCAGGTAGGTTCTATTGTATTTCATATTTCAGCTAGTTTTTCTAAACATGAAAGCACTTAAACAGGTAACGTAATAGTTACTACAGCTATTGCAAACATACAGTTTGTCAGCAGATTTACATTTTGCATACTGTTAGACTGGATCCACACAGGTGTTATTTGTTATTGCGATCATTGTACTAATATCGCTTATGACTGCCTGGAATGAATCACATGCAGGTGCTCTGTACATAAATATGGAGCAATGCAGGCCCCTTCACTGGCGTTATTGGTCATTTTATGTACAGAGCACCTGCACTGACGAGTCTACCTGGGATCTTAGGACATCCATCCCTCTAGATCTTCTGAACTTAATTAATGTCGTCCTGATGTGCTCTCCTTTTTATGCATCTCCGTGTGGTCCCACCAAGCTTCGGCAGTGAGGAGAGGTGTTCTCCTTTGTGTTGGATAGTCCACCTTTGCTATGGACTCCTTACAACAGGTTGCCTCTGGTCCCCTGACGAAGCATACTGCGAAATGCATTGGGAGTACCACATGCCACTGGATATCACCAACTACACACATTTTAATAGTTGCCGAAATATGCTTTGTATTTGTATAGATTGTAAATGGCACAAGTGATCTGTAATGGATGTGGCTGTGGAAGGTATTGTACAACTATGAGGGGAACACATTGAGAAATTAATTTGAAATTCTGAAAACCCCAATATACAAGAATTGTTTGGATATAATTATAGTTTAGGGGGGTGCATGTGGACCATCTGTCTGGGCAGTCTGCAGGCATTGTTGGTTGAAATCACACATAGGGAACAATAGAGTGTAGCATGTAAATAGATCCTTAATGATTGCACAATGCTCCAAACTTGCGTAGTTAGATGCTGCTACGTTGCACGATATGTGTAGTGATTGTTAGCAATTAATCGTAGGCAATTGCTGGTGATCTTAGTAGCACAGGTGCAATAATGAAAATTGCACATGTGCCCACCCTTAAATATTTTTTTTATAGGAAATATTTCACATTTCTTTAAATCTTTAGGCAAAACTCCAGGTTTATCTGTAAAAATTAAGTCAAGGCAACTGGACTTGCTGTATTTTTCTTGAAGATGTTTCACTGGTCATCCAACCAGCTTTCTCAATTCAGAATGACTTGTACAAAAATTCTGAATTGAGTCATTCTGAATTGAGAAAGCTGGTTTGATGACCAGTGAAACGTCTTCAAGAAAAATACAGCAAGTCCAGCTGTCTTGACTTAATTTTTACAGATATACCATGACCTGGATAAATGAGAACCTTCATTAGACAAAACTCCAGGTTTACTTCAACTAAAATTACACTGCTCTATTCCTGTTACATTTTAAAAAAGCAGCTTTTTCTGCAATACTTGCCTCTCCTTCAGTGATGTCTACGTCAGGCATTAATACTTTTGGTCCTAGATACCACATGTCTAGGCTGAATGATCCCCAGCATCATCCTACATAATTCCTGAGAGCCCAGGCTGTCAACAGCACATCTCTTGGGAGTGTGTCATTATGCGCCCCAGTCTGACAGTGTTAGTAGAATGACATTACACTTTATTTGTCAGTTATTATTGTATTATATTATCATATTGTTAAAAAAAAATGCCTTTTTAAGTTTGCATTTTTTTATATTCATATTATTACATTACAAGCATTTCCATGCATTTTTCAGTTGTTTAGACATGACAAAATGTTTAGACATTAGCAGTTCAATGGTTTTTAATTAGGAATATTCACATTGAGGCATAGTTGCATCAGGGTGTTTTAGAAATGTTTACCTGCCATTGTAGTATACTGTATGTATATGCTCACAAAAGCTTGTAAAATCTGCAAGGGTCATAAAACACCCAATACAAATTTTCAGTGCTAAAAAGCACCATAATACACTTCAAAACACTAGCTTATAAAAATACAAATATATAAAATGCTACAAAATGCTCATAAAATTATCCTAAAATGCTAGAATATATTTAGCAAATTATTTTATGTGCCAACTTTCCCCCCAAGCAGGTACTTGAACTCTTCATGAAGAGATGAGAAAATATACTGATCTTGTCTTTATAATACATCTGTTTTTTTATGCCAGGGTAATTTATCTAATCTAAACCAGAAAATAAACTGCAGAATAGTTTTATTGTTATTGCTTTATGGCAGTCTTGAATTGAGACTGCGATCTAAGAAACAGAATGAGTGCAGCTAATCTTGGACTTTAAAGTCCATTTCCACTTTTGTAAGTTATTACCATCTATTGTGGTAATGAAGAGGTGCAGTGATGATGTATACATGTGCACATTTTCATGACTCACATTGCAGGCTTTCTTCATGTTCTATGAAGTTTTTATTAGGCCTGAAGCCACACGAAAATCAGTCTGACACCAGAGTCAGACTGTACTCAGCTGCCCCCTCCCTGTGACCCTTTGTAACACGATCACTAAACACCAGCTCTGCCTTTGCACACAATACATTGTCCGGGGGACGGTGGTGGATAGGTCACAGAAAGATATACATACATTGCTTGCACAGCACAGAGGTGGCTATTTCCATGAGAATATGAAGAGGAAAGCTAACAAAAAATGTAAGTTTCTGTGTTCATATACAGCAACTGCATATGCCTGCTTCATGTTCACTCGGTGTACATCGCCGGCATATGTTTTTTTTAAATACCTCTGCCAAGGTGGAACTGGGCTTTAAAGAGTTATTGAATGTCATAACATTTAGATCTATATAACAAAATAAACCCACCTTTTTACTTGGCATATGTGAATATGGTAGAGCAGTTTTCATGCAAAGCCCCTGGTTTTAAGAAACTCTGTTTCAAGTTTTTTATATAAAAAAGTGTGAAATTAAGTATATACGAACCATGTAAGGGACTGGAATATCTAAAGCTATCTAATGCTTTAAATTCTTTATTTTTAACAACCTATACAATTAAAAAGATTAAAATTTGATAAATGTATATGATTAATGACAATTACTTTTCAGTATTAAAAATAATGAACATTCTTGGCTGTTACTGATTTGTGTTTTCTGTTAGAGTGGGTATTTGGCTAAAACATCTTGGAGGGTCAACTCACTCTACTGCCATTTTTAACTCTACAAGGGTAGATAAGGTAATGGAGATGCACGCAAGAGAGCACACGAGAAAGAGAGAGAGAGAGAGAGAGGGAAGAGGGAAAAATAAAAGGGGTGTAAGGTTTATATTTTGACAATAAAGTATGTCACTTTATGTGTGCTGGCTTCTCTTTTCAAACAGGCAAAACTATTATTCTCTCTACCCATCACATGGATGAGGCAGACCTCCTAGGTGATAGAATTGCAATTATATCTCAAGGAAAGCTCTATTGCAGTGGCTCACCATTGTTCCTAAAGAACTGCTTTGGAACAGGCTTCTACCTCACTCTGGTCCGAAGAATGAGAAATGTGAAAGAATCAGGAAAGAAAGACTCTGTAAGTTTGCAATCTCCCAACTCTCTTTGTTTTGCAAATCTATTAAAACTGAAAGACCCAAAATGATAATCTCTTGAGTTATTTTTTGACCATTTGTGACTGCTCTATAAATTAAAATTTTGCAAGCAAATATTAAGACATTCTTTTTTGGAATATATATTGTACGGCCGGCAGGGTTGTGAATGGTGTATTTGTGTCCCCTAGGTTTCTCACATACACATGGTGAGGGGCTCCAGGGTTTATGACGGATGTGGAGAAAACAAACCTTTTGTTATTTCACAATCTTAAAAAGTTCCGTGCTGAGTTCTGAAGCCTGGAGGCTTTGTAGAGCTTTGGGTGGTAGAAGTCCCCCATTCCTAGGTCCGCATCCTGTTGTGTAGCCAGTCCTCATTATTAGTCTCAACTATGCACAGACCTATATGTATGCATGCTGACTGATGCTTAGGGCTCTCACTCTGTCTGCTGTGGAAGCCTGCTGCTGTGTGAAAAAGCTAAGTGCTGAAAAAACACTGAAAAAGGTACACGTGCTCCCTGTTTGTTTTGGGGAACTCTGATAGTCAAGAACTGAGCTGAGTTTAGCATTGTCATTTTATTTATTGTTTTATGCACACACACTGTATATACATAGCCTTTGTAGGCTGGCTAACGTTTTGGCAAACCTAACGTATTGTGGAAAAATTGAGAAAAATGTCTGTTGTAACAATCACAGATGATTAGGCAGTCCTCAACAGCCATCCAGTCAGCTGCAAAGACAGCGTAGTCTATTTCAAGTACAGTTAAAATGTATTCCATTATTTAAATTCCATAAAGCATTCCTACACGACCATTCAGTCTACCCTACCTGTACTTATAAGTGTTCATATGGATGGTTATTCGCAGCCTATTAGTACTGTTGGTTTCTATCAATTCCCCTTAAATCTGTGGTTTATGGTAAATTCTGCTCCTGCTGAAAAATCTACTACAAACGCACTCTGTACACATGTACACTGTACATTACGGTTTAGTTATTTGTTTTCCTTGCTTACAAATAGTATGCAAGTTTATACTTTCATATTTATTTTTATAGGCTTCGTGCCGCTCAGATTGCTCGTGCTCTTGTCCCAGCTGTGCACCCAAAGCCAAAGAGAATCCACTGGAACAAGAGTTAGATGGTAAGATGCCTGAATGATCGAAATAGATCATGTCTTATCTGTGTGAAAGAGCTACTAGTTTTGCAAACTAAATAGGTTGATGTAAAAGAGGATGGGTCATAATATGAGTATCAGCAAATTATTAAGCGGAAAGTATTTAAAGGAAATGTATAATATTTTGTATTTTTTTAATATATATATATTCATTTAAGAACTAAAAAATAACAGTTGAAAAATGTGTTTTGTAAGCAAGCAAATATAAAATATTTTGTATAAATGTTTTATATTTACCATGTTTGCAGCCAGCAGGAGGTGCAGCTTGTTTACCACTTAAAGGAGAACTATGGGGTTAGGGCTTTTCCCCATAGTTTTCCTAAGGGTAACGGGAGGACACACACTAGCGTCCTCCCGTCACCTAAAGCTCAGTATACCGCAAGCTATACTGAGACGCCGCAGCCGGAACGGATCCCGACAATTAAGTCTGGATCCACCCAGCTGCGTGAGTGACAGCTGGCTCTGCCCCGCCCCCTCCCCCGTCCGTTCCGCCTGTCAGCGCTGGAGGATCGGACAGGGGAGGGGGGAATCCAGTCCCTCCCCTGTCACGGCTCTCTGCCGGCACAGGAACGAGAAGTGAGCGAGCGCCGCTATGTGTTCGCTCACTTCCCGATCTACTGAGCCGACCTGTGACAGTTTCATTGTCACAGGTCGGCTCAGATTATGAGGCTGAGTGAAAATCACTCACCTCATAATTCTCCTTTAAGCTGTGAGATGTCTGTGCAATTTAATCTAATCAGATCTATTCACAACAGAGACGAGGGACACACCTCTCACCCTACAGATCCTATGAAATTTTGGTTAGACAGTGGCAGTAAAAAAAATGTTTTACTTCAACAGTATGCTGTGCAAACACAGTGGTATGTAGGGGTTGAATGCAAAAATCAAAATGAAAGCCAGAGAAGTGTTTGTTTTTGTAATGCACTTTTTAATTTAAAAAAAAGACATTCCCCCTTATGGATTTTGGCGATCGCCCACCTAACACTCCACTGCATGCATTGCAGACACAATTTTGTGTAGTACCTCAATAAAGGATCAGTGCCTACTATTTTTCTTTTAGTTTTAACGATCCTATAATACTAAAATGTGTAATATATTCCTGTATATTCAATTCTTTTTAATAGGTGATATAGCTGGATTGACTGAGCTTATCCATCACCATGTTCCTGAGGCCAAACTTATAGAAAGTATTGGACAAGAACTAATTTTTCTGCTCCCCAGTAAAGATTTCAACTACAGAGCCTATGCCAGCCTCTTCCGAGAGCTGGAGGAAACCATCGGGGAGTTGGGGCTTAGCAGCTTTGGAATTTCTGACACGCCACTTGAAGAGGTAATGATAGCAAGCAAATTATGCCATATCATTTAATTTTAGCTCTCAAATGTCAATGTTTACAGAATTTTTGAACTGTAAAATGTGAGTCATATAAATTATAGTCACATACAGAGTTCATGTCTACGGATGAGGATGAGTGTAATTTTTAGGCTCTTATCCTTTTTGACCTCCTTCCCCTCCTCCAACACGTTGAACATATAATATACACACCTGTAACACCAATGTCAAGAGATTTATATTGTGCAACCTACTTGGCATCGAAAATTCTCAGATTTGCACTGGCACAATCTCATCTGACAATCTGTCAGGCTGCCGACAAGCTTTTTACTGTAGGATAAATTGTAGGATATCCAAAGATATTAGGCAGGGTCTGTCTGACAAACGCAGGAAGCATAGTGAAGATTTCTGGACAGCAGTGTTATAGGTAAGTGTATCATATACTCCAACTACTGGAGGTGAGATGTAGAAAAGGCAAACCTCTCTTAAAGAGGAACAACATTTTGGTAGCTGTGCACAAAAAAGCAGGCAGAAGACAAATGACTAGTCACCAGTATTGCCTGTGGTTTGCCTCATTTATCTTACTCCAATAACTAACTTGCCATGCTTAGTTTTGCACTGTGTGAAAACAGTCTTCTTGGTCAAGGCAGGCCTTTTACTTCCTTGTATGAGAGCCTCAGGCAAGGAGAACAGTGAGCAGCACATTAGAGACATCACCAGTTCTCACTTCAAATCTCCTGAAACTAGCAGTCAACAGCAGCAGAACCTTAGATTTCACACTGCAGATATACAGCTACGAGGCTGTAGGCACTGGAGTGCCTAGAGAGCCTCACATACCAGGAAATTCACTGCTATATTTCAGGAGGAATTCCAGACAAAAGGTAATTTTTTCAGGGTATTGCTTAGGCACCGTTAACATTTATACATTTTCCCTATACCATAGCAAATCATTACTTTTTAAGTTCAATTCTACTTTAGGGCTCATTTCCACCAGCCCGTGAGCTCTTCGCTCTGTCCCGTGTCTGGAATTCAAGGGGTTGCATACACAAAGTCTCCTTGCGTTCTGGGGTGGGAGGGGGCATGGCATGTTAATGACACTGCAGTGATGCCCCCTCCCCCCCATAGTGCGATCGACCACACAGGACCGTGTGGTAATACAATGCCCTGCGTTCCAGTGCGGTCCGATCACAAAAAATAGTGCATGCACAATTTGTTTGCGATCGTACCACGCTGGAGTGCAGGGTATTGTATTACCACGCTGCCTTGTGCGGCCAATCACACTGCAGGGGGGGTGTCTGCAGTGCCATTGACATGAATGGCACTGCCACACCCCCTTCCACCCCAGAACGCAAGGAGACTTTGTCTATGCGATCCCTTGCGTTCCTGAGGCACGGGACAGTGCGATGAGCCCATGAGCTGCTGGAAACGAGCCCTTAAGGCAGAAAAACATGTAATCAAAAATAATTGTTAATATAAATTCAAAACGATGCAATGTAATAAGTGTATGAGGCAGCACAACATTGTATACCCTTTCAATATTATTTCTGCAGATCTTCTTAAAGGTTACAGCTGATTCAGTGACAGGAACTGAAACTCCAGGTATTGACACCTTCTCTACAGCTTGGCAAGTATTACATCATACTTTTGAGACCGTCACTTCTCATATACACAGAAAAAAATACAATGGAGGCAAAATGCCTCCCAGGATTTCTATACTAATGCATGTACTTAGATTGGCATTGCAACATTATAATGATATTGGGATATCTCCTACTATGAGGAAAGAAGAGACATTTCTGTACCCTGTAGAATTACAAGAAGGATGCAGAAAAATTGCAAAAAGGTTCTGGGAACTCAATTGAGTACTGGCCTTTTAAAAAATGTGACCTTTGTTATGCTAATGCTTATGCAAATAGTTATAAGTATCCCCCTGCCACTTCTGGTTTTTAATTTTTAGTATTAGGTTTCGGATGAAAGCCAAGGCTCCTAAGATAACGTTCGTCTAGTTAAGCATTTCAGAGTTAGGGGGCTTTCTTGGTCTCGTAAGACTACTTGCAGCTTCGCGTCTTCTTCTTCTTCATGGTCTTGGTGTCCTTGGATTCTTAACACACACTGATTTACAGCAAGTCAGCAAGATTAGAATACAGAACTCTTAAGAGTACAGGATTTACATACTGAGATCCAGATTTTGATGGGAATGCTTTATCCAGAGCTCGTCTTTCAAATTTGGGTAGCATTTTCCCCTCATGCCCATTCAGCAATGGTTTTATAACCATTCACCTAAGGCAGTCTGCTCTTAGCTATTCTATTTTAGATTCTATTGTTAACATTTGCTTCTTTTGACTTTCTTTTGGTTGAATGCACTAACAGAGGAATGGATGTTACAACAGCGGAAGTCCAGAACCAGTCTAGCAGCGGATCCAAAGTCAACAGTTGTCAATATTGAGAATAAAGGTGACTCAGGCAGAATAATGATGGGTAAAATAATGGGAATGTCTAGAGCCTTGCTTGGCCCATACAACAATCATTGAATGAAATGACTGTCACTGCATGTTAAAAGTTCATCTCATTAGAGACTAGCTGTCTCCACTAAAAGTGTAAAACATGTTTAAACCTATCCATATACGCAGGTATTACCATTTGCCAGGTGCATACTGTTTACAATGCTATCCAATGTTGTACACAGAGTTCTTTCTACTCATATTTTATCTTGATTGGCAGTCTAATTCGGACTTTAGCAAATAGAACTTGTTCTGTTTGTCTTTGCTAATACTGAAAGGTTTTAACAGTCTGCATCAAAATGTATTACAAGCTTTTATTGATTATCATGGCATCAAAACCCCTCCCACAGATTAATTCTCCTGAAAATAGCGCCACTTTGAATGACCTTGTAAGCTTTCTGCAACTTTAGATAACTTGAGAAAAGCTTATAGGGATCTAGGCCTGCTATGACTCTTCAATGCTTTGATCAACTCTGCATTGCAACATATCTTGATGACAATTATTCAAACTTCAGCTGGGTATTCACTGGTAGATTTATGCATGAACATTTATACAAAAAAATCTTGAAAGAACATTTGATAATACCATCAGAGACTTGACAAATGTGGTTTAGAATTTGATTGATTCGATTGATTTTGACTTTGGAAATGAATGGAGTTTCCAAAATGGAAACCACATTCACTGTTAGAATTTCTATCCTACTCCAATGCATTTCAGCAGGATTCCCTGCTGGAAAGCACTGGAGCGCATCCTGGCCGGCTACCTGTGTTCAGGGGCGGGAAGGGGTGCGATCGCCCACACCAGAACACGTGGCACATCAATGCTTGCGTTCCGGTCCAGCGCAATCTGTAAAAATAGTGCATGCAGCGATTGCACTGTGGGGCTTGACTGTGGTGCCATTAACTTCAACGCACCTCCACCCCCTCCTGCCCTTGAATGCAGGAAGCCGGGTGCGCTTCAGTGCGTTCCAGCAGGGAATCGTGCTGGAACGCACCAGAGCTGGTATGAACTGGCCCTCAAGCTCCACATCTTTATCTCTGATGAGGGAGGAAGCCAGCAAGTGGTAGTACAACGTCTGCAGTTCTAACCTAGACTGTTAGATAATGTTTTTCTAGGCCAGCAATAAACTGCAAAATGTTATATCATGTAGCAGAAGAGTTGAGATCTACCAGTTCAGAATATATTATTGAGGCTGCAAATGAAAACCTCAACTTACTGTCTACCTCAATAATATAATCTTAATAAATGAGCCAAAAAAAAGGTTTTAAGACATTGTTACAATAGTCAGAGGTCAAAAGAGGAGTCTTTAATTGCGCTCAATTAAAAATAAATATATACTATGCTGAAGAAGTACAACATGCAGTCAAAATACAACTAAACTAATTAAAGCAGCTGTTTTGCTTATAGAACTTTAGCACAGTAAGTCATTTTTAAAAACTGACAGCATGGTGGCTCAGTGGATAGCATTAAATCCTTGGTTCGAATCCTAGCTAGGACACTATCTGCATGGTGTTTGCATGTTCTCCTTGTGCTTGATTGGGTTTAGTCAAGATACTGTGATTTCCTCTCACACTACAAGGAAAAATAATTTAGACTTCTGTCTAAATTGACCCTAGTGTGTGTGTGCATACAGTATATGGATGCATGTGTGATAAAGACCTTAGATAGTAAGCTCCTTGAGGGCATGGACTGATGTGAATGGTACAGTATGTAAAGTGCTGCCCAAAATATTGGCGCTATATAAATGATTGTAATAAATAAACAAAAACAAAATGGTTTAGCAAATGCCAGACATTCCCTAAGTTACCCATCCTTATCTGGTACCTGAAAGAAAATGCTTCCTTGCCAAGTATCCTAGTGCCATTTCCTGCTTTTGCTTCTTTTGCATGGTCGCTGAAGCATACATTTATAGGCTGGAAAGAGACATTACTTCAGGGTTAATTATTGCCCATATAATAGATGTAATTAGATGCAACAGCTTGCTTGCTGTCTAGAGAAGCTCTAGATTAATTAAAGCCAAGGTTAGATTGTTAAACTTTCAGCAAATGACAACTCCTATAATAAGTTTATAAATATTGTCTTATTTCTAGGCATCATTCATTCTACAATCACTGTTATGTACAATTACACCTAAGAAAATAATATTTTTGTACTGACTGTAAAGTCCTTTTTTTTGGAGTCCACTGAGGAACACAGAAAGTCTTTAACTTCGATTTATACTGCTGTCTACAGAAGAATAGAACACTGGCAACAGCCAGGAGTGGATAACCCTATCCTCAACCGCATGCCTCAGTTTTGTAGCAAAGTAGTACTTACAGCATGATCATAAACGCAGATGGTTGGGATCTGTGTCCCCAATGTACTCCAAGGGAATTTCTATTGGGAAGGTCCATTGAGGAACACAGGAAGTCTTTAGGACATCCAAAAGCTGTCCAAATGAGGAGTGGGCAACAATCAAACAATCACCAACAGGCCCAAGAAAACAACAGAGAACTGGGAACTGACCGGCAGCTCAAAGAGCTGCCTGAAGGACCATACACCCTAAGCTTGCATCAGATGAGGCCTGCACATCTGGTACATCTTAGAAAATGAAAACAGAAGACCAGATTGTAGGCCTTCACATCTAGTAAATGTTTGTTTGATGATGATCTAGCAGAGTGTGCCCTGGCAGGAGAGGGTGGAATCTGATCCTTCAGAACACAAGCCTTGATTATGATCAGTCTGAGCCACCTAGAAAAGGTGGAAGGAAAAGGCGGTGCACTCTTACAGGATTCATCCAGGAAACAAAAAGGATATTTGTCTTCCGGAAACAAGCAGTGGCTGGGATATAGACTCTCACAGCAAGACACTTGAGAGAAATCGTCTTTGGTGAAACTGAAGCCAGACAGGGGCAAAAAAACAATGTCCTGATTGAGGTGAAAGGCCCCACTGTGTCTCTATGCAAAACCAGAAAGGGTTCCTTACAAGATAAGACCTATAGTTCAGACACTTGCCTTGCAGAGGTGATGGCTAAAATAAACATAATCTTGTGGGTGAGAGGAATGCCACTAATGGGTTCAAAATGCATTTTCTGAAGCTCTGAGAGATTCAGAATCCAATGAAGATAGTGGGGAACAAACAGGGAGAGCTACAATGGAAATTCCCTGTACACAGCACTTAATGAAGGAGTAAGAGGCCAACAGTCTCTGAAATAAAATTGACAGGTCAGAAACTGAGAGCCAAAAACTGGTCCAGACCCAGCTATAGGAAGGAGAGGATTAGTGCCATGGAGAAACTCCTAGCATGAAAGCCCTGAGACTCATACCAATTGAAGTGTGCTTTTAATGCCAGAGGATAGACCTAACACAAAAAGCTTTCTAGCTTTTAGCATCATAGGAAACACAGATTCCTAAATGCCGCTCCCTCTAAAATTCTGAGCTTCAACATGCTACTTCTCGGTCAGTGGCTTTAACGGCATGTTAAAGCCACTGACCAAGAAGTAGGATGATAAATTGGTCCTTGAGTCAAATGATCCTGATGATCTGGATAAGCCCTCCATGCATCCGCAGGAGACTAACCAGAATAGCGTACCTCATCTGCCTGAGCCAGTCCAAAGCAATGAGAATAACCAGAATGCCCTCTGTCTCGATCCTGAGAAGCAGAAGTGGAAGTAGTTTCAAGGAAGGATAGACGTAGTTCAGGAGGTACCAAACAAATTTGTCTGTCCAGGGGCTTGATTGACTTGACAACAGAATGATGCAGTGAAAATGCACAAATGGGTCTACCTTGACAGTCCAGGAGTCCGACAACTCCTGGACTGGAGAGCTGGAAACTCTGAAGATCACAGAGTCTAAAGTTTCAATGATGATTTCTGAAGGTTCAGGATCCATCCGAACCATTGTAATGTCTGGACAGTCATGCCACAGTGTTCAACAGAGCCTGTGCTGACTGTACCCTGAACAGGAGGTTGTCTAAGAATCCCACAATGGGAATGCCACAAGAGCACCTTGGAAAATACCTGAAGTGCAGGTGAGAGGCTGAAGGGCAGGGATATGACTAGTAACAAACAAAGGAAACCTCAACCCAGCATAATCCTGGTAATCACAACAGTGAGTTGCAGAGATGGGAACAGGAGAATTGCCGCAGCTCTGGCCCAATAACTCCATCCCCAGAAATCCCAAGGTATACTGGCCTGCCTTGAATATTGGAGTCCTGTGTGAAGTGGAACATAGGTGGGCATACATTGCTGACTCCAGGTCTGTCGCAAAGAGAACACTGGTATAGATTAAAAAAACTTGTAACTTGCACTCCTTGGCTAACAGGAGAGGTTATCAGGATTTCCACATCTGGCCTAAATCTACCAGTGGCTGTAGATGAGTGGAGAAACTTCCAGAAATTCAGGACATTTCCAATGAGAACACCAGTATAAACTGGGAAAGCCTGTGCTCATTGACTGACTTGAGAAACTTTCAGGATTTAACATATCGGGCATGAATCAACCAGCAGCTGTTGATGGTAGAAAAAATATTCCAAACGAAGAGAGAACAGCAGAGCTGAAGAAAACATGTGCACTTTTATGAGGACAATAGCAACAAAATGAGGCAATCTGGTTGTGGGAAAGGTTGTCCTGCCCTGTGCTGAGAATAAAGAGCAGAAACAGAGATGTGCTTTCTGTTTCTGCTATTTGTTCTCAGGTGCTGGTGAGTTTTCCAGACTACAATTTTCTTAGAGCTGGGCAATGGCAGATGTTGGATTCTCCCTTACATTTTTTTGAAGGTATGGTGTTTGTGGTGTTCCTGATTTTCTTCTCTTCTCACACAATGAATTCACTGGCAGATGCAAATGTCAAATTTTCTATATTCTTATTTCCAATCAGATATTCACATGAATCTGTTTTCATACCATACATGGGACAAATATTGGCAGATTAGGTTCAAGGTGTACTGTGGTCACCTTTAAAGATCCATTATGTAAATCTCTGCAGATGAACAGTAGAATGCACATTAAGTTTTACAGTATTTGTAATAATGTATTTTATATCCATATAGCACAGCCAAGGCTGGATCTCCATGACTGGAGCCTATAGGCACACATCCTTGGTGCGCAAAGCAACACTTCTCTGTCAGGATCACCTTTTCCTCTGCCAGCTGTAGGCCTACTGAGCCTAATGGTATATCCAGCCCTGAGCACAGCTTAGGTTAAATGTTATTTAAGGTTTTCTTTTTTTTTACATAAATCAAATAGTAGCTTGGCCTTACACCTAATTACTTTTGCAGCTTCAGAAGGTCTTAAATCCTTACAATGTTTTTTTCTGTCAGGAGCCCAATGCTGTTTGCTCTCAGCGTGGGCTTTCAGCACTAAAGTCACACAATATATAAAAAATAAACAGTATCCAAAGATGTCCCTGACTGAATCCTGACCCTAACCCTAAACTTAACACTTAACCTAACCCCTATATTATGCCTTTAACATTAAAGCCCTCTGTCAGTGGGCATCAGTTTGACATCAGTTTTAAATTATCCGAGATAATTTAAAATTCATATGCAGGTGCATTTGACCTGCAATTGAGCACTCTTTAACCTGCATTTAATCTGCTTCAAGCGGGTTATACATTCCCATAGGCTTGTAGCGAACAAAAGTCAACCAACTTATGCCCTTCCCCTAACCCTCATAAGTATCCTTAACACACAGATGGATTAAAATCTCTGTAAAGCCCAAACTTTTGTTTTTGTTTTTTAGTTTTGGATAGGGTAGGGAATGGTTAAGGCCACTGTCGGGTTTTTTTTTTCTGTCAGTGACCCGTGGGATTACCCTTTCCCAACGCACAGCATGTGGAATTCTTCAAAGATATTCCATCTTAGACCGTTGTAACCAAAACTCGTTTACCCATTGGAAAATTTCCTCTTACCTCCTATTCTTGTAACAACTCCAAAATATTGGATTTCCTATCATTTTCTATACTGAAAACAATGGCCACTAGGACAAATAGAGAGAGTAGGTTTCCCCAGCAGAGATACAGACAGTGTTGAAAACCTGATGGAGGTTCTAACCCTTACTTACTCTATATAAAAGGAAAACATTACGCTTTGGCTTTATATGCCCTTAAATTCTAAATGGGGCCCTAAACAAGGCAGCAGCTTTGGTCTCTTCATCCCTTCAAGCCATATTGATAAGGACTGCTATAGACACAGAGAAGCACCTCATTTGCAATCTCTGTACTGGCAAAGCCTGCTCCATCAGCCACCAACTGCCTACAAGTGCATCCACTCTTGTGAAGTCACAGGCAGGTGACCAGTTGTGCTCTCCCCCTGTTTTACTGCTGCAACACGAAGGTTGTAGCAGCCCCTCTTGTATATCCATGAGGTGCTAGGTTCCTACTTTAAACCAAACACCCAAGCTAAACCTTCAAATTAATCTTTAACCCTTAACTTATCAGATAACTTTAAAATATTCCCTGAAACCTAAACTGCCTAACTCTTTCAACCTTAAGCCCCACGCTAGCCTAATCCCTAACACTAAAATAGGCCCTAAAAGTGCAGTCTAAAACAACCAGTGCAATCAGCCAACTACTCTATCTGCTCCAAGAGGCATTCACTGAGACCTCACATTGCCAGTGCTGAAAACTATCCAATCCAAGCAGGCAGTTAGTTTGTCTTAAAATATTGCTATGGCATATTATTAGGATGCATTTGTTGCATAAAATACATTGTAATGCTCTTGCTAATCTCAGACCAACCACCAGATATCAGAAAAGAGTCTACAGCCTGCAATAAAGAATCTGCTGAAGGTGAAACACATGGTAAAGGATCCCATCAGATCAAAGGCTCAGATCTTATGTTCCAACAGTTTAAAGCACTAATAGTTAAGCGCTTCCAGCATGCTACACGCAGTCGCAAAGATTTCTTCGCTCAGGTAATGTCACAAGTTTTAATTATTAAGAATGTAGTTCATAGTAGATCTGCTATCTGTATTATGCAGAAAATGATAGCTGCCAATTGTCTTTGTATAAGCAAGTAAATATTTGAATGTATAGCATTTTTATTGTTTACATTATGACACTATTAAGCTAATTATTCTCATTATTCATTATAAATGATCTAGAATACAATTAACCAATAGATTATTAAATTTGTTTTTAGTAATGCTGGCCATACATTGTCTAATTTTCTTAGCCGGACAGTGAACAATGAATAAAAAGCATTAGAAAACCTAGAACTAGTTGAATGAATCCCACAGCTTGCTGGAGTTTTTTTTTTTATTAAAATGACTTAAAGGGTAAGTATTCTTTAGAAATAAACCCACTTCCAACCTTTTTATTATATAGTAGAAGCACAGGCCTTAGATGCAGACGAGTCCAATTTCTGCCTGGCTTACCCAGGCCTGGCATAGTGTTACAAATTCTGGTGTTTGACATACAGTTTTTTTAAATTACTATGCATGCACTACCGCCAAGAGTGTGCTTAAGTCTCCTTCTTGCCAGTTAGGAGTTACTGGCATTCTTTGGTTGCACTTTTTCCCGTTTTCACATTATGTCCTTCAGGTTCAGTTAGTAAATTTGCTTGGCAGGGTTGTTTTGATCCAACGGATGACATGAGCTGCCTGCCTAAGTCCTGATGAATTAAATTGACTTCATGAATTTCAAAGTCAACACACAACTGATTCATTTCATAGTTGTTTCTCAGTTGCCAACTTTCTCTTTCAAGTATGTGCCATATATTTTTGGAGGACTTTTCTCTCAAAGTCCCCAAACCAAACTTCATCTTGTTTTCAGGTTGTTGCCCAGGTTTTAAATACATATATAGTTACCAGCCTGATCAGCGGCTTATAAAGATGACCATTGGAATTTTTTGAAACAATTATACCTTTCAAGGGTCAGAAGGCCATGATAGCATCTACTGGCCAAGGTTAAAGAAGCCTCCAATTCTATAGTACTTTTTTTTTTACTTTAACAACTGAACCCAAATACAGCATGCTAGTAATGCTTTGGAAGTTATAAGCAGTGACTGGCTGTAAAAAGTAACCTCCTCCCTCCCCTCTTTGGTGATCAGTGGCTGGCTGGAAGCATAAGAATAACCCCCCAGCATTGGTGTTGGACACACGCTTTGGTATTGAGCTCTCTACCCCAGCTGGGCCAGGATTATAGTTCTATTGGTGGGCAAAGATCACTCCTACTGACCGTTCTGGCTTCTTTCAGTGTTGGGCACCCAAAACACTGCTGCCACTTTGCAGGTCGTCGACAGTAACACCGGGACACCCTCTAAATGGTGGTACACATTGCAGACCAAGCACTGCATAAAGAATAATGGCTGTCCCAGGCAACACACTTACATTGAAGTGCATCTAAAGCCAAAACTGTATTTTGTCAGTTTTGTAAAGAATCACAAATAAAGCTCCTGACACTTAAGTCTTTTTTTTGTTGGTTTGCTGTCCCTTCACTTTCTGTCCTTAAGGCACAATGAAAAGTGAGAAAAAACTTCTCCAAGTGATGTAAATCTCATCTCAGACAGTTTACCCAGAACAGATGTACCCATTGAAAGATTCCCCTCATCTTATTTTCTAGTGACAACTGTAAAATCGTAGTTGTTCCATCACTTTCTGTCCTAGTAACCATCGTTGCCAGGACAAGCTCAGAGGGTAAAATTCTCCAGCACCAGATAGTATAAACACTGTTCCATCCCTGTGCACGATAGGCAGTGACAACTTTGATTTGTCTGTTTATCCAGTCTATTTTTCCAAAAGCTTAAAGGATGTTTGTTTTTTGTTTCCTAAAATTGCACCTACCCTATAAGTCATTGAAATCTAAAAGTTAAAAAGCAGCAGAAGTAATCTCTTCTGTGCAGTGAAAAAGTAGATAAGATTTCCCATATATCTGTGTTGAAAAACGTATTCATATTCAACTGCACGTGTTCTGTAATGTTGAAGAGGTTTTGTAGATTGTTGACAGATTCTTTAGAGTTCTGAATATGGTGTACAGTGTTGCCACCTTGGGGGGAGAGCATGGTAGCCAGGTACTTGTCAATGTTATATGTGACTGTGTTGATGCTGTTTACCATCGGATGTAGAGGTACATCCTTTTGTATGTTAGGGAGTCCATACAGGCATGATGTTGTTTCCTTGTGATAGAGATGGTGGAACAAGGTCCAGTCAATGTCACTTTTTTCCTGTAACAGCTAATCGGGTTCTTCTTAAGTGGCTCATAAGTGTTGACATCACAGAGAAGAAGCCACCTTAGAATGGTAATCAGATGTATTCCTGACCACTGTGAATTTCCCCTTGTCGGCTGTCAGGATGTTAATGCTCCAATCCCCACTAAGTGATGTACAACCACTTCTCTCTGGTGGAGTCAAGTTTGAAAGAGGTGCTTTGGCACTGGACAGAATGCCAAGATCCTCACAAGGAGTTGTTCAGACTCTTCTGCCCATATGTGGTTGTTATGGATGGACAATTCAGTAGCTGTAATGATATCCACCACAGGACACGTCAAGGTGCCAAAGTAAAGTTCAGTGGCTTGGATAAGAGTTCCTTCTCCAGCTGAGCTCTATGCCTCAAAGGTTCTTTACCCAATTGTCCCTTTTGCTTTGGCATATTCCACTATTATCTGGTTGCACAACTTTCACACATTCCATCCTGTTCTTAGAAAAAGCAATATCTAAACATTCCATGGTGATTGGATTAATTTGTCTGTGCAATTTATGTAAATGCTGGGGTATCATCCTGACACTCATTAGTACTAAAGAAGTGGCCTGAAGAAGTTACAAAACATCTTCAACATTACATACCAAGTCCAGTTGAATGTGACTAAATACTACTAACCAAGACCCGGATAAATGAGAATTTTTTCAGACATATTATGATATAATTGTTTGAAAGCGAAATCATTATTTTTTATCATGTGGTGCTTGCTGATTTTTTGGAAAATATTCAAAACACCAAATTTTGTGTTTTATGGAATAAAGAGCAATCTATGTATGGCCAGCATAACTTTCAGGTTAGACACAAAGTATTTTGCTTGTATAATATATTATGCAGAAAACCCTTTATAGTTACCCTTTGAGATTTATTTCCCAACTCACCAAAGCATTACTGTCTATTCATGAAGATTGGAGCTGAACATATATACAAATGCCTTTACTTCCTGCAGATTGTGCTTCCTGCCAGCTTTGTGTTGCTGGCTCTAGTGCTTACTCTGATTGTACCTCCCTTTGGAGAATACCCCAGCTTAACCCTTCACCCATGGATCTACGGACAACAGTTTATTTTCTTCAGGTCAGAGAAATGAGTAGAATAGTCAAAAGAGTCTTCCCATAATATTTCCCAGTTTGCACTGTAGAAAACTATTGTAGTATCTTAGGTCAACTAATTTTAAAATTTGACAGCAGGCCTTTGGACCAAAAGTGAGGTCACACTTCAACGGGTCAGACCACTCAAAAGTGTCACCTTTTGAATTTTTGGTAGATGATAGAGTATTAAACTACAACTTCTTATTTGTATCCGGGACTTCACTGGAAGAATCTCTTACCTTTATTATCTTACAGACAATGCATGGAGGGGGAGGAGGGGGGG